CTTGCATCCTCATGAAATTCAATTTTCCATAATCATATATGATGTCGTGGCTAGAAAGACTCGTATATGTCAATAAAATTAAGTAGAAACATATGGTTACAGAAAGATTTATGTAAAGCCGTTGAGAAATATTTCGCTAAATTTTAAACCTTCTGTGTCATCGTTGCGATTTGACTTACTGTTACAACATACTGAACTCTATGACGCTATAAATAGATATCATTTATATGCATTTCTGGCTAAAGTTTGTGATAAAAATTATAGCCGCCGTTATCTCATGTGTTAATCCATAGAATGCATTTGCATGTGAGTGCAGCTGACCTTTACCGGACGGCATATAGATTTCCGCATGAAAAAGTTTGAGCCTAGAAAGTCCCTCGCACTTCCGTTTTCCTCGCCGTATCGTTTTTAATCGATTTTCACCAGTTTACAAAGTTATAAATATTTACGTCTTCATGAATTTCACGAATCTTAATGCGTCGTATTATTAATTTTCGTAAAATATTATGTAAGTTATATGTAATAAATTAAATAAATTAGGTGAAAGCATTTTTGCTCTTAGCGCGTGACAAATATCTTAAAATCGTACTTTGACGATTAAAAGCGAATTTTTCCTAAAAAAAAAATCATATCGTGTTACATACTACAATTATTATTTTTCAAAACTAGAGTTTTAGAGTTAGAGAGAGATTATAGGAGTTTCAAAACATTTATATGGACTAGACATTAAAATTTTTTTTACATTTATTCTAAAAATAAGTATAAAAATTATTGAGCGAGTTAAATACTGCAATATTTTTACACAAAAATTCAAACCACTTTTTCGTTCTCGCACTCTGTATTTGACGCTTCTCTTGGGTGCATTTATAATTAGACGGTTGATTGCGATGGTGATTGCGAGCACACGGATAGACCTTTGCAGAGAGTTTTGAGCTTACAAAGTCCAATGCACTTACTAATTGGTTCGTTGCTCTTAATTGCGCCGTAGTTCCTGGAACGATACTTGATGGATGAAGTGTTCGCTCTTCCGTCCTCCTTAAAGCGAACCCCTTAGTGACTGAAGCATCCACATTGAGAAATCGATAGTGTTATTCGACAAAATTTAACTTCCTTATAATAAAACTAGATTGAATCATATAAATCTCTAATTTTGAAAGACGATAGTTATTAAGTAGTTGTACGAGGGAAAGTTTAAAAAAATAAAGAGAAACGTTTCAATTGATTTGAGAATCAAAAGAGTCTCTTTACTTTTTTATTTTTGTAAATTTACCGAATTTTGTTATAGTGTATAAAAGAACGCTAATTTAAAATGATATTTTTCCAAGCCACTATCTTAGTGTTCCTTCTCGGATTGTGAGTGGTGAGATCGGTTCTCTTCTTGTTCAATTTTTTCGTACCAATCGTTCTCTCTCTTACACGGTAGTCTTCACGTGTGGGTGAAAAGACGCGAAACGTGTTTCGCATTATGCATGTATCGCTCACGGAGGTATTAATCACTCACTGCTACAATGTAATTGCCGCGCGTGCTTTCTCTCTGCGGCCGTAAACACAATAGCGCGTAGTGCGTAGAAAACACGCAAGGCCGTAGCTCTTTCCAGACAATGGGAATTATTCAAATGAAATCGGCATCGTCCAGTCCTCTCATCAGTTAACAGTATTTATGACTTACTAATCGCCAGTATTACATTCGTGATTATTTCTTTTTTTTTTATCAAGAAAAATGGGGCTTAAAAATATTAAATGCTGCTCAGGTTGATCATATTGATTTTTATGTTTAAATTTGACACAACAATCATTTTGGGTGTCAAGAAATTTTGTACATTAATTTTATATGACAAATATTCTTATTTCTTCATTTTAATACATGGAATTATTCTATTTATTATAATTATACAATATATTTATGTATAATAATTGAAGAAACAACATATTTTCGTAAGTCGTTGTAAATAGGAAACAATTATTACAAAAATTTATAGTCTAATAGAATTATAATTTGAGAATTAAGTAATATTAAAAATTGACAGCTTGTAACGAATGATAGTAAACGATTCTTCCAAGAAAAAACTTTAAGTCAATTGAAACCCTCTAAACGAAAGGTGTTATGCTAGTTCTGGAATATTTTGTATATCACGAGAAAAATTCGTGAAATATATTTTGTAGAACGTGAAAGGTTTTTGGGAAACGATACAAGCGAGCGTACAAACGGACACGTACATGACACGTTTGATTTTTCGGCTGAGCGAAAATTCCGAACGGCTCTTTTTCGTTTTCTCTCTTTTATCTAGAAACAGCAACGATTCGCAATAGTTCTGTTTACGACGGAGTCAGACTCTGGCTTTCGTGTTCGTCACCATTTGGCCGCGACCCAACTGAGCGAGCCAGCCATTGCCAAGAGGAATCCTGGTCAAATTCTTCTCAGACATTATTCTCGACTTTTTAACCCGCGAAATTTCCATCTCGACGTCCGACCGCGAAAAGACTCTTCTCCCGCGCGTTTCCGGCCTCGCGTCTCTGTTTTCGTCACCTTTCTCGTCTCATCTCGGTCGACTTCTTTTAGAACGGAGACGAAATCCGAGAAAATATGCGAGCGGTGGAATGTAAAAGAGCGCATTACGCCTCTCGACGTCGAGACTGAGAGAATTGAAGCAATGTTTTAAAATCCTTAGCCTCCAGTGGTCCTTAACCTCCTCGGCATCTCTCGTCTATTAAATTTCTTGGAAGATGTTCTCGCGACGTCAAAGAACATGTCAAATTCCTTACTTTAAACAAAAAAAAATTGCGCAGAAATGAGAAGGCGATATTTCACGCAGTTTAAATTTAAAAATATTTTAATTCTTCATAAATTTTTGACGAAGCTGGTATTAATATTTCCTTAGTTAACTGTTTCTTCATTTACTTTCTTATATAATAGATCAAAGTGGCTATTATAAATTGTTTAGAATATTTTGATTTTTTTTCCTAAGAGAAGAGAGAGAGAAGAAAAAAAGATACTCGTAGATATTTTATCTGTTATATATTTAAAGAAAAATAGAATTATTATTTAATTCGGAATTATCTTTCGAACAGTTTTATAACTACTCTGATTTTTGTTTGTTAACTCGCTGTAACATAACGTTTCATTAGCGCATTTGTTCTAAATTCAACGGTCTAAAATTCGTAACACATAAGAAACGCATTGCGCAGCTTGATGAAAGTCAGTATACATTAGCGGGAAGTGTAGTCCGAAATTGAGTTCTCCCGATGATTTTCACGGAATTGCTCTTCTTCGGACACCATAATGATCGACCAGCAAATGTTGCAATGATCGCGCTCATTAAGCAACCGCGCGCCGGCTTTCAAGGCTAATAAAGAAGTTACGGTCCGTATGTCCATTTTCGACATTGAGAGATGCTGCGAGCATCACGCCGGCGCCTTTACAAGCCGTATCCTACGCCAACCAGATGCCGCGGTTTCATTAATAAGTTTCTCTTTCGCGAGTGAATATCACTTTAGCGTTCTCTTGCGCGTGTTACTTGCGCCATGTGAAAACGGGGCGACACGAGCCTCCGTTTCGTGGCCAGATAACGATGAGAATCGCATTTGGAATCGTCGTTTTTAAGCAGTTAAATGATTCTTTCGTATTATACAGAATGCTTCAAAATTCATTAATTTCTTAAGATACGTATAGAATTTTTGAACTAATTTAAGAAAAATTGATTTTTTATTTTTCTGTTTGTATTAACAATATTTAGTCAGAAATTCTGGTCCAATTAATATCGAATAAATCTTAAAGCTAATGGAATTTTGATTTCGAGATTGATTTCAGGGTATTTAAAATTGTAAAAAAAATGATTTCGTGAATTTTTATGTAAAGAATAGTAATCTCAGATAATTATATATGATAAACATACAATAATCGTCAAAGTAGTAAACGATTTTGCTGTATCCTGTACTTGTATCAATTTCACGACAAACATATGAACATTTCGCACAATCATGATGAAATTACCTCAATGCATTAAGGTCGTTCTTACGTAGATACGATGATGAATGATGTAGATCTGTCTATTTTAATGGCGTTTTAGTGAATTGTAGAAATTTTATATTCTACAATTAACATACAAATATTACGATATTACGATTATTATAACATACAGATATAATTACCCCTGTCGAGCTGCCCCCCCCCCTCCACCTTGCACAAATAAAAAAACCAATAGCGCAAAATTATAAGCTATTTATGAGCTTTCATATTCCGCAAATTAAAATTTTTGAGCTCGTCACGCTGAGCATGAATGTTTTTTGTGGTCGATATCGACTCAGCCCCCCCCCCTCCCACCGCTTAAAAATAAAAATATTGCATCAATTTTTGCGGTAGAATTAAGAGCTATTTATGAGCTTTTGAACTGATATAGTTTCGATTTTTAAGCTCACCCCCTTAGTTCTCAAACAACCCTTAATTGATGATCGATATCGACTCAGCTCCCCCACAAAAAACATTAAATTCATGCTCAGCGTGACGAGCTCAAAAATTTTAATTTGCGGAATATGAAAGCTCATAAATAGCTTATAATTTTGCGCTATTGGTTTTTTTATTTGTGCAAGAGGGGGGGGCCAGCTCGACAGGGGTAATATAATTTTTATGCACCGTATATTTATGCACCATGATTGCTGTAACAAAGTTAAACTTTATCTTTTATTTATATAACTATTTTAGCAAAACAAATAATTTTAAATTCCAAATAAAAATATCCCAAATTTATATCAAATAATACATTTTAAAAATTTTACCGTATATTTATTCGACAAGAACATTATTTTAAATTTTAAACAAAATTCTGCGGAAATTTTTTATGGAAATATGTTGACACTCGCGTAAAACAGCATTTAGATCTCGTAGCATGAAAAATCGAAACAGTTATGCATGCACCTGTTGTATGATCTAATATGTCAATAACTGCAACGTGACTACGCGCTACAATATGTCACTGACCTCCGTGTTTGCTTCGTTTTTCCAGGTTACTCATAAAGTGACAAGTCAGGTGATGGTGCTCAAAATGAATCAGCTGGCGGCGAACAGGCCGAATATGCTCAAGGAAGTTCAGCTTATGAACAAGCTCAGCCATCCGAACATACTCAGGTGAGTCCGCGCGAATTGAATCCGGTTCACTTTTGCCGGTGAAACTCCGTCTTGCGATTGAAGGAAATCACTCGGCCGGTACGTGCCGAATTCGACGATGAAATTTCTACCTGCTCCGCTCGCCCGTTTAATTTTTGTATCGCGGGTAGATACATTAACCCTCTTTCACAAGTGTTGCTACACTGCGAGCAGGATTCGAAAACTAGATTCTTGAGGATACTAAATCAACACTGTTTATCAAGTTATTGAATTTATTTCATCAAAGGTTTATTTAGTTAAACAATTGATTATTTCTACATAATAATCTCGCAAATATAATTTTTATACATTAAGCAAAATTCTCTGTATTTTGCATAAATTTATTGCGCATGTACGATTCTTGCGATTGCGCCTCGCATCTGATTCGGTTTGCCGTGAATTAATTTAAGAATTGCTTTACGGCATATTGCTAAAATTCTGACGCGCCGTCTTTGCGATCACGTCAAAGTGATCTCATCGCGTTAATGACATGCCAATTATTGAGATTTCATTCCTTTTAGATATCAACATTATATCTCGCCGTCAACGTCGAGTGCGTTATCATGTGTTCGATTTATCGTTTCACGATTATATCGTTGAAATTCCTCTCGCTTGGGAGATCACTGAAATGACTAAAAAGATTAGAAAAAACGGTATTACACTTTAACTACGCTCGTTACGAATTACGACATAATACATCGCCTAGCGGTAACAGCGGTTAGCTCAGAGCGCTGCCCCGTTGCGAAAATTCCTGCTAGGCGCATAGCAGAGAGAATATAAAATGCAAGATGCATAATACGCGATGTAACATTTTTTACTCCATAACTTTTAGACACGAAACTACGTAGTGTAGATAAATATTGTATCAAGTTTATCAACAGGTTTGTATATTATTTCATCTCCCACAAAAGTCGCATTGTTTCTCACGATGTTTTTCATTTCAATGTTATAATAAATTTATTTAATATCAAGGTAACTAAATCTTGAGCCAAAATTGTATCGGAGTGCCCAATCTGGATGTTAACGCTGCATCTCTACAAATAACTCGTGCAAAATCAATTGCGCAAGTAATGTAAAATTCATTACTTAAGAAACAAAAGGTTCAAAGTCCAGAGATGAGGCATCAGTTTAGTTTTTTTTTTTTTTTTTTTTTTTATCTTAGGACTATCTATTTTCCATACGCTTCTCGGTTATGACATAACGCGCCGTGTGTTGCTAGCGCGACGGAGACGCGCCGCGCCGCGCTGCGACGACAACGCATTCCGACGATATAAACGGCTTGGCCCAGATTCGGATACGGTGTTTACCCGCTGCGGACCTAGCGGATCTTATTTCTGGCATTTCCCTCGGCGAAGGCCTCCGCGAAAACCCACGGATCCTCTCAGGATCCTCCGCTTCGCGTACCGGCTGTGACTCAGCCGTAAAAATAGTTATCATCTTTTTACTCGCAGCATTTACCGCGTGTATCATTACAACCGCGCCTGTTGCTGTGTCGTAACTAGATATGCTGTAGCGTGCCGCGTCTATGCCTGGCGTCAGTATCAACAGGAAGTATTGACATTGGTATGCAAAACAAGGTGTCGATATTTTTAGACGACACGCCCAATTCACTCAAATAGTATTAAAGTTTAATTTATATTTTATTCGCTTTAGCTCAATTCAATTTTGCAAATTTTAGTCACAGCGAGCTATTTACCAAACCACAAGTGTCGTAATACTTTCGAAGAATCAAACATCAGCGTAGTATCGAGTATTCGACGAGATCAACAGCATCCGAGTCATAATTCTTGGAGCTGCATCCCAGATTAGACAATCGACGCCATCACTCTTGCGAGAGCGACTCAATGAAAACAGCCGGACACTGTCCGAAAATATCTTACGTCTTCGAACTCCGCGTAATTCTTGTGTACTCAATCAATTCACCAATCCTTTTTACCAGCAAAACGCGAATGTCTTTTTACGTAATATTTGGCTTGCCGAGAATGAATCCGCCTAATCGCGACGAAGGAGAAAACACGTCAGCACTCTAGTAGTGGATAATGACACAGCGTGGTCAGACATCGGCCGCAATATTGGCTTCTGTACACTTGGCATCGGGTTTTCGATTTATAATATACATGCAACTAACATACACACGGAAATAAGCACATAAAGCTGAATTAAATTTTAATAATTCGGACAACTAGATAGTTCTCTGCACGACTCATAAATATTAATATAGTTTATTTGTATTATTTTCTTATTAACTTTATTCGCATTATTTTTTTAGCTTTTATAGCTAATCTTCTTGAGGATAATTACTTCTTTCGGAGATCTCATCACACATTATGTTAAATATTCGAAAATGATTCTTGAACGTAACGTGGTGCAATTAATGTTCCACCGCGTATCGATCGCGCGAATAACGAGCCTTGGGAAGCGCGCGAGGAGAGCGACAATTTCTCCTCTTATCTGATCGGTAAAAATGAATCTGGAGCATCATGTATGCATCGTCTGTGTTTTACCCGGGAAAAATTCTCCGCCGGAAATTTCTCTTTCGCTCGGGCTTTTCGTTGTCTTTTTTTCTTCCACCGCTTGTGGGAGAAATGCGTGCTCGGCGAGAAACGCCTCGAAATCGGGACGACGCGACGCGACGCGTGATTTTCTTCTCTTTCTCCAGCTATCGTTTATACAGGATGTTCGTTTTATCCTGCGATAAGAACGGTGAGTTCATTCATTGATCAAGTGGCTTACCCGCAGGAGAAATGCAAACGAAATAGTTTTCACAATGCAACCGGGTTGTTTTAATTTATGTATTGCCTACTTTTATTTATACCTCGATGTATGAATATAGATAGTGAAATTTAACGGAACCGCGACATGGATTATAATTAAGAACTGCAGCTAAAGGATTTATCGATATTTATCGTCGAATAACATCCGTTATCGAGCGTTTAGCAATCATTAATTGTTTTGCTCGAAGGCATCTTCTGATAAGCGAGACCATTTCCCTGAAACAAGGCGGTGTTTAACTTCTTTAAAGTTTAATCTAGCGTAATATGATGGTTACAAAGATAACGTCGACGATATCGCAATGATTGAATTGCGATACATATATTGAAGATTTTTTTAAATATATCTAGGACATCTTGGTTTCAATCAACGATGAATAATGAGCTATTCTCGATAATATTTTGTAGGAATAATATTTTCTTGTATTACGGCACGATTCATATTGTGCTTTTTTATAATTGTTTTTTTATTATCGATGTAATTATTAATTTTTTTCAGTTATTTATTCATCCAGAATGAATTCAGATTACAATTGTGCATACATAAATATGATATTTTTTATATATTTCATCTTTCGACAAATTTTATTCATTTATACATTTATCTTTCCACATTTTGTTCTACTTAATTTTTATCGTTGTATTTTTTAAATATACATATGCAATGTGAATGGAAGAGAAAGCAATCTAACACGTAACATTGTTATGAATGTTCATCAACTGTGTTGTACTCTGTTCCTTTGTTCGCCTTCGTCGTATCTAATCACGACTGGAAATCGCTAAATTGATAAACGCCACGAGTTCTAAATTCGCTCACGTTTGCGGCGCGACAAATGTTACTTCACCTTGAAATGATTTTCAAAGTATTGCAGCATTAGATTTACGAGTTTTATGCAACGAGTAGGAGAACTTCACATCTTTCTTTAAGTCTTATTATGTCTGTATGTAAATTTTATCGAAGGATCTACTACATATTAATTTGCTTTTTCTTCTCTTTTATAATTTATGAGATTCATTCACGTTCTTAATTCATAAGAATTTAAGTTGTTTTTTTTATTCTCTCGCAGCAAATTTTCTTTGAAATTTCATGTAAAAGGAGTATTTGTCACGAAAAATCACAATGTTTGCAGAAGAAAATAATAACTTGTTTTTAAATGTAAATATTCATTGATCGCGAAATATTCTTTTTGCATGAAATTCATGAGGCTTTAATTCGATGCTTGAGAATGAAGAATTTTATCCTCCTATAATGCCGCAAAAATTCATAATGAACATTTACATCTAGAAACGAGTTATTACTTTATTCTGTGAGCATAGCGATTATTGTAAGTAAAATTCTTTTCGATCAATGAATATTTATATTTAAAAACCAGTTATTATCTTGTTTTACGAACATCGCGATTATTCAAAGTAAAATTCTTTATTTTCAAGCATCGAATTTAAGTCATGAATTTCTGCAGAAATTTCACGCAAAAAGAATATTTTGATCAATGAATATTTACATTTAAAAACGAGTAATTATTTTCTTTCGAGCAAGTTTACGTGTTGGAATCTCGTTTTATCATTGAAACAAACTGAAAGCTTCTCAATCGAAGACCTCTCTTCCCATTCTGAAAATCGATTTTCTTCTCTTCTTGCCAGGTTTATGGGAGTGTGCGTGCACGAAGGCCAGCTGCATGCATTAACGGAGTACATTAACGGCGGCAGCTTGGAGCAGCTGATCATGTCGCGGCACACGCCGCTGCCGCATCTCGTCCGGATGAATCTCGCGAAGGATGTGGCCCGCGGCATGGCCTACCTACACAGTCGCGGCCTTTTCCATCGTGACCTCACGTCGAAGAACGTGCTAATCAAGAAGGACGAGTGCAGCCACGAGATGACTGCGGTAGTAGGTGATTTCGGACTGGCCGCGAAGATACCCGATCCCAGCACGGGCTATCGGCTGAGCACTGTCGGTAGCCCCTACTGGATGTCGCCCGAGTGCTTGAAGGGCCAGTGGTACGACCACAGGTCCGACGTCTTCTCATTCGGGATCGTGGTGTGCGAACTGATCGGCCGGGTGCCCGCGGATCCGGACGTTCTGCCACGCTCAGATAACTTTGGCCTCGATTACCTGGCCGTGGCGGAGATCTGCGCGGCCGCCGATCCGCCGCCCGCCTTCCTGCAGCTCGCCTTCAACTGCTGTACAGTGAGTATATGACGGTCTCTAACTGTAAAGGCATGCAACGCGAGATCCGGCGTCGAGAAAAAGAGTTCGGGATTAGTATGACCGCAGTGCTCGGAAAGTTTTACGATATGCTCGCACGCATGCACGCACGCATGCACGCACGCACGCAAGCAATCGTATCGCACGCAGACGTTTGTTAAGTTTTATTATATTCAGATCAATTCGGCGATTTGTTAATCTGAATTATCCGCGATTGTTTCGCAAATTATTTATTCCGAATAGATTTACATGATGTTACTGCGCGCAGTGAAAAACAATCAATTTTTTTGCAGTACGAACCAAAGTCCAGGCCGACCTTTCCGGAGATCACGGCCAGCCTAGAGACCATGATAGCGGCCTTCGAGGAAGAGCTAAAGAACAACATCGGTAAACGACAGTCCACCGTCGATCCGACGCTGATGTCCAGCATGGACGAGATCGCGCGCGAGGGACGCACGACGAAACGGCGCACCGCGAAGCTCAGGAGCCAGTCGGCGGACGCGAGAGGCTGCGACAACGCGACGCCGTCGGACAAGGCGAGGTGTCACTCGGCCAGGCGGGTGGCTGAACTCGCCAGCCGGCGGGATCCGCATTACAGGCCGATGACTGCAAACCCGTTCCACGCGTTGGGCGGCGTGAAGAAGATTCTCGGCGACCTGTTCTCCAGCTGCCTGGAACTGCCCTCGCTGGAGGACGTGCGGCCCAGCGTGACTGACGGCGCGTGCGGCAAGTTCAAGCCCGCGCAAAACGACAGCATTGCCAAGATCCTGGACAGAAAAAAGCCGAGCTCCGAACCGAGCAGTCCTACGGCCAGGAAGAAGTGGGAGAGGAAGGTAGGCGCGCAAGCCGGTCGCAAACGGTCGGCCCTTCGGAGTAAGAGTATATTATTTCGCGAATTTTATTCACCGCGATCGTTCGAAAATGTGCTACGGCGTTTTTAGGTCGCTACTAAGGTAGGCGCCGCGAGCCTGTTCGCCCATCCGCTCTTTCGAGATGGCTGGGAGCCACGCAGACGGGGTAGCTGCGAGTCGGGTTTCTGGAGCTGCGTCGGCGAGGATCTGAGCCCAGAGCCGCCGAACCGACGGCACACGTCGACTCTCAGCAGCTCGGCGGCGAGTAGTCTGTTTCTGTTGGACGACCATCGGACCAGCTCGATCTACACAGACTCATCCGAGGACATCGCCAGTCTCGGTGGCGGCGATTCGTGCTGGGAGGAACGACTAAGCGGCATCGGCTCGTCGAGCAAAACCATCTCGAAGATCGTCGAGTACTTCGAGAGGAAGCAGGCGATGGCAGGTAGACTCGGCGATCACGGTGACACCGCTGGTCCTAGCCGCCTCACTCTGCTGCGCGCCAGTCTGGAAGGGCCCGTGCCCATCAGCAGCATCTCGGCCGCGCAGCGGCTCGTCGTATGCGAAGGTGCCGTGCGCAGCAAACTCGCATTATTCGACAAAAAGTGATATTACGCGTGATCTTGCGCGCGAGTCGGCCGGCGGTTTCTTATCGTTTTTTCTACAACGCTCGGACGGCGCTCGCGTGAGAAGAGCAGTGAAGCGCGATGCGGGTTTCGGGGTGGGCTCGGCAGAGGCTCGTTGTCGTGCGCGGCGACGGCGGGTATCCTCAGACATTACGCGATAATTAAATGTAAACAGCGTGTTCTTATATATAATTTAAGAGTGAAGAGCAAATGGCAGTTAAAGATACAATAGCAATCGATTTTATTGCGCATGAAAGATTAGGGCGGGAGAGAAGAGGATCGCAGCATCGGCGCGTCGGAGATCGATCGTATGCGGCTTGTTAGCGGGATATTGTTGATACACGCGCGCGGCGTGCTGACCGATACTTCTCTAAAAACCTAGTAACCTGACTGTGATGTTTTTTGATAATCTACATACATACATACATTATTGAGCTGTACGACTGAAATTTGGCGGAGCCATCAGCACACAGGATCTTTTATATGCAACACGAGTCGCGTTTCATGTACTTGGGCTATAACGATGCGTCGTTCGGAAGGAAAGAGATAGAGAAAGAAAGAGAGAGAAAGAGAGGACGAAGCAATAACGAATTTCGTTTGAAAACTGCGTTCGAGATTAGCGCTGGCGTAGCGCTAATCGGTTATTCGCGATCGACACACCTTTTGCAGTGCCTCGCAGTTCCTAGTAGCCATCTCCGTCCTTATGCACACGAACCGTGGATACTACCGGAAGGGTTTAGCTATTCAGATCGACGACGCTGGTATGGATAAGAGCGAATTCCTTTTGTTTAAGTCGAGTGGGCGAATCGCCGGGTCAAAAGTTCTTATATCTCGCTATTCTTAGTTTTCAGATTGATTCGATTAACGTCGTCAAGTCTTGGCTCATACTTTTTCTTATAATGCGTTAGCAATCCTGTCGAGCTATTTTTTTGTTTTGAAAGTTATTGGCTTATTGTTGCAGCCATGTTGGATTTAGTTTTGCTATATAAAAGGAATAATTTGGTCGAATGTCCACTACTCGTATTTGAAAGATGCCGGAGTGAGTCTTTCGATAATTCTTCCTTCAATTCGAGTAATAAATAGCTATAAGTTTTAATTAACTATTATAGAATTCATTTTTTCAAAAAATATAGATTGCAATTTGCGATAATTTTTATCAATATGAAGAAAGACACGTTTATCATTTATTCTATCGAGCACAAGAGTGACGATGTGAAGAAATTTATTTGACATTAAGAAAAAAGAAGTTTGGTTCTTCCTTTTACTGTCGTTGTCTTAGCATGCTGCAGTGAGAGTACGAAGAGGAAACTCTTAAGTTCCTCCACGTTTACACAGAGGCCTACGCCGCGCTCGCAAGATTCTCATTTCGTCTTTGATACGAAGAATCGATGTCGATGCGGCGCGAATGTTCTCGACGTTGATTGTTTCGCGGCGATTCACAATCTCGCGTGTCATAACGTTAATAGCCCGGGACGCGCGGTACAAAGGACGCCGGAGATATAACGATAATACATATACATATATTTTTTTGTTGGCAGAGATACACCGTGTCCTGGATATTCTTGTTGACGTGTTGTGCGAAGCCGAGAGAGTTTGTCCACTTTGAGAAGAGAACATATGAAACTGATCTAGTCAGTGTATTAATGTGGCGGCCTTATCTTTTGTACGTTGTAGCATTAAAGAACTTGTAGTGTTTAAGGTTAAAGTAACAAGCGTGAAAATAAGCGTGGAATAAAACCAGGTTCTTTCTGGTAACACGCGCGGTGTTTTTTCTTTTTCTTTTTCTTTTTTTTTCCTCTTGAACGTCAGGATATTTATACAATGGAAAACGCAAGAGTGAGAGCGTGCTAGATAGTATGAGTCGAGGTGCATCGCGCCTGTTTGTATGTATGTGTGTTGCGGGAAGAAAGTGTATACGTCCAAAACGATATATAGAGTTAGCTACGACTTCCGCATATATAACGTAAAATCGTTTCGTCGCTCAGACGACGAGTCGAACCAAATCTACGTTTTGTAGAGTGATAGACTAAATACCTTTTTACTTGTCGAAGTTCGCTCACGGGTTTACTCCATAAGACTGTGCGTTCGTTAATGTAATACATTGTATGTAAGCAGAGAAGCTCGAAATCGCGGTCAACGACATTCGCAGTCTCTTCTTCCTCGTGTATAATGGGGATGCGCGCCGATGTGCGGAGTCTCTTTTTACGTTTCTTCCTTCTGTCCTTTTTAATTTTCGCTCGTCGAGTCGAGACCCTCTGTTTCTCCTCGATGCGCCAATCGGTACCTGAACAGTCGAAGCGAAGGAAGGACTGCGAACGAGATAGTTTCTTAAGCGTGCGGACATATCAGGAGTATATGGGCATATCCTGAGTTTCAACCCGGTCGAGAGGGCAATAAAAATGCGTGGTCGCGAATGATGGCATTACGAGGTTACGTGTTGCGAGTGCGAATGAGTGAGTGAGCGGGAAGAGCATAAAAAAATAATAAGAAAGCGAAGTTGGCGGACCGAGTGGCGCATTTTTAAAAAAAAAATATGGGTTATTTATTTTAAGTAAAAACAGTTATATTAAAGATTATATATCTATATATAAATCTAAAAAATCGTCTCTTCCATACTTCTCAACTGTTGTCTAGAATCTACGGTTGTTACCGTTGTAGTACACGCAGTCCCATCTCTTCTGGCTGTATATAACATTATACTAAAAGAGGGTACGCGCGATACCTCGGACTGCCTCGTGGCTCTCCATGTTGGTTGTCTAGATATATACAACAAAAGATATATACAACAAAAGTTTAATAATAATGAGCATTGGTGAAAGAACGCTCGATTATTAAAATTCGAACATAAATAAGCGCGAGAAGAAGAAAAAAAAAGAAACAATGGCGATTGAGAGGGCGATAATAATAGCTATAATACTTAATAGTAAAAAGGCGAAGCTATATATATGTGTGTGTCGTATATATAGCTATGTAAAAAATTCCTCCTATATATACAAAGATAATAAAGTTAAGGGCTCCCGATTTTTACCAGAAAAAAAAACAAAGGAATACACAGTTTTTTTTCTAGAGCCATTAAGTCTTAACGATCCTAATAACCGCAGAAAAATTTCGCGAACCTTTTGCGTTGAACAACCGAATCTTATCTTTTTAATCAGTCTGCAGCGTTTGTAATGTTAACGATCTTTCTCCATATCCAGCGAATAAGGCTTGCCCATATCCTCTTCCGGAACCAGCGGTATATATCTCGTCCTGGGATCGTTTCTTCGCTCGTAAGCGTATGGGAACATCATCGTCCTGGCACTTTTCACCGACGCTTCCTTGACTCTCGGGATCTTTTGAATGTGCGAGGCAATCGTCGTGGACTCCGAAATGTGAGAATCGGTCGACGAGGGCAAATCACCGGTCGTCTCTTCCAAATCAAGCAAAGGTATGTATTTTCTTTCGTGCGTGCTCGTGGAGGTGGCTTCTTCCTTCTCATCAAAGGCTTCAGATTTCTTTGAATTTTTTCCGTCATCGATTTCTTTCACCGGAGAAGTCATTGACGATTCTTCCTTCGACGTCGCGCTTCGCGTCGTCGTCTGAACAGCGTCGCTTTTAACCACGATCGGCACCCAATCATCGTCAGCTTTGACATCCGCTTCCGAGTTTGCGGTTCGCGAAGAGCTCCAGTCACGATTATACCCGACCGACCAGTCTAGCGATCGCGAGACGTTCAAGTCCCTCCGTGGCGAAATGCCCTTCGAAGTAGTCGTCCGTTCGCCGATCGGACGCCAGCCGCTGTCTTCGCGCCGCGTCTCCGCCGCCATCGTCCTCGCCCCGAGTTCGGTGAAATTAGCATCCGCTGTTTTCTCCGGGTACACAGCCTCGACTATCACTGGCGGCACTTCGGCTCTCGACACGGTATACTCGCCCTCGCTGTTCTCGGTCTGCGCGCTCGAGGTGGACTCTTCTTCAGAGCGTACGGACGAATTGTCCGATTTGCGCTGGCCGATATTCGTTCGCGTGATTTGATTGTTATTCCTTGGCCGGTCGTTCGTCTTGTCGACCTCGGCGCTCTTCTGCCGCGTCAAGTCGCCCAAGAGAGGAAAGTACTTGGGCTCGTCGTGTCGCATGCCGGTGACGAAGCTCGGCGTGTACTGCGAGATCAGCGGCAGCAGGGTCTGCCGTGCGTACCGTTCGGCCTGCGCCAGGATGCTGGCCAGTCGCTCGGGCAGGAACTGCACGGTGAAGGCTCTAGTGGAGGTCGATGAGGTCTCCTGTATCTCGTCGTGCTGCTGCTGCTGCTGCTGCGCCACCGCCTCGCTCCGCGCGTTCTGCCTGGTAGCGCGCGGACGTAAAATCGGCTCGGTGATCTCGGGCAGCTTGAGCGACCGGCCGGCCTCCTTCTTGCTCGGACGCAGCACCGGTTCTCTGATCTCCGGCAGGAGATCCGTGGTGACGACGGCGGCAACGGTACTCTCGGCGACTCGCTCCGCCGTTGGCGAGGTGCGATAGATGAGATTGCTGGCGCCGCCGGAGAAGCCTCGCCCGCTCTCGGACTCGGAGTTCTCCAGCGAATTCGAGTCGCCGTCGCTCGATATGTCCAGCACAGTCCAGGGATTCGCGACGTTGTTGCGTCGTTTCTCCGCGTCCTCGAAGACCGCCGTCTTGCTTTCGACGATGTGCAGATTCTGCTCCTTCGTATACGGCCCGAGACCCTTCTTCTGCGTTATTCGATCCGTCGAGACTATCTCCACGGAATATCCGGAGTCCTTCGACTCGTAATTCTGCTCTTTCGTGAAAGGTCCTATGCCGCCCTCCTGCTGCTCGTCAGTCGCCATGCGTTCGATCGATATCGATAAGGATGTGGAGTTTTCAGTGTCCAAAGGAATATTGCACTCGCCGGGATAAAGAGGTAAGTAAACCGATACACCGGAATCCAGAATCAAGCTTTTTCTGCAGATCGACAAGGATTTGCCGGAACTGTCGAGGATGGCCACCTTGTCGATGGTCCAAAACACCAAGCCAGACGATATCCAGCCGCTGTATGCCGTGTATTTGATCTGGCGATAAAGTACATTGTTGAAATAATTGCGTAATTTGATTATATAATTATGCAACCGAAACCTAATTGTTACTTTAAAAAAATTTTAATTCTGTATTTTAAAATTTACTCTTTGCTTCTCAATGAGAAAACAAGAGAAAATACATTATTTTGAAGTATTTAAGGCTTTAACTCACAACAATTAGTTTAAAACAGAATTTATTTTACTAATTTAGTATCTTTCAGATGACTGTAGAAAATTCCATTTGTACAATTACATTTAATTCTACAGGGACAGATCACATTGATTTGATTTTACTTATATCAAATTAGAGCTTGGGATAAATATAAACATACAGCGTAAAAATTGCGACTTACTTCAATTGCTTCAAGATTAGTGATCGCAGGATGCGGCACAACGATTTTCTGAAGAATGGCTCCTACCAAAAGTTCTTCATCTTTGCGCGTCATCGCGAACGTGTCATTATAGGAGCCTTTTCCCACGAGCGTAACCTAAAGAGATGAAAATTTGTAGGATATGGAAGATAAAATGCAATATATGCTGATTTTTTAGGAAAATAATTTATAACATTTGTTAAAAAAAGGTTTCAAAAATTAGCTCTAATTCTTTAACTCTTTATTTAATAAGCGTCGTCTTAAAAAAAGAAAAAAAACAAATTAATGGAAACTGTGTTTAGCAAAGTATGATGGAGATAGCCGTAAATTGTAAATTTCTGAAATTATGAGTATATATGTCGGGAAAATCATAAATATGTATTAATGATTTACAAAAAAGATTTCAAGCAAACCTGAAGCTTGCCGTAGCTTTTGACGGATCTCTCGCTGCGGCTGTTGTACACTTTGATTTGATACTGATGGGCACAGAAGGGCTCTTCCTCTCTCGTCAACAGAAAGAGTTGACCCCTGGCAGGCGACTCGTTGCTGTAATAGCCCATGTCGCCGCAGGGTCGATCTATGCCGTTCATGCCGCAGGGGAAGCAATCTCCCCTCAACAGGCCTTCGTAGCCGAAATCGCAGGGGAAAGCCGGAAATCGGCATTTCGGGCTAATGGAATCGGTGAAAAATTTGTACGCCCGCCGATGATTGCATAGTGACCTGCCCTCAACCGTACTCGCTGCAATCGATCACATTATATTTGATATCAATCAAACAAATGCCTTACTAATTTCATTTTCTAGATTGCAAGGCATCCGAAAAGAAGTAAGTATCTTGCTTATAAAACAGTCAGTTTTTCATTTTTTTTTTATTTTTAATTAAAATTTTTTTTTTTAATGAGATTTTGCAGGTATGAGCTGTATTTAGTCGGAATATTTGTTTAAATTCGACACTTGGGCACTGGGAAGAAATTTAATACTATAGTATTAAAGTACCGCTAAGAATGCTTACACCAAATGATGTCAGAGACGGCACCAACAAAGATGTTTGAGCATCCACTTTGCATTTTACCACCATTCGGGTAATAGTCCACATGACCCATGGGCTGCCAAGAACCTAGTCCTCCTAAGATGAGCTGCTCGCCATTGCTGTGAATAACGTCTACGAAATTTGCATCCGTCGCATCCAGCCGAGCCCTTGGATCTTGCGACTCGAAAAGCGGTCCGGCAGGATCTAATCCTACACACAAACATACGAACGCGCTATGCAATCATTGCAGGTATATGTAGCTAATTCTCGAATAACTTGGTTAAGCTAATGATCTCTCTCGTATACGTAGAAATTAAAACAAATATTACAGAAAGGCAGAAAATTAGAAAAATACATGCATTTTTTAATAAAATTTCAGTATAATTTTATAAAATATTTAAAAATAAAATTTTAGTTTAAGATATAATTACTAAGATATTGAATGTTGAAATTTGTACAAAATTGCTCTTTTCTAATTTTTTTGCTGTTATAACGTAAAATCAGGAGCAATTTGTTTTTAATAAAATTATTAGTATTTCGGATTACGGTATTCGAAGCATTGAATTATTAATTAATATGATAAATAACATATATTAAAAAATATTAACTGGTCATTCAATATCAAGCTTGCAGATATTAAAAAAAATTTTTTATTTAATATAATCGGCTACAGTTTATTACACACACTCTTGCGGTGCTAACATTGATAACGAAAATCAGGATATGAAATCGAGATTAAAATTGCGAAAATAATAATTTTTAACATTCCATGTAAAATAAGCAGCGACAAAAAGTAAGAAATGGAAAAACATCAATCGCTCTGATAATTTCAAGTTTGAGAAATATCGTTTCTCCTAGTTGAAATTCTTATTGAGCAAAAGTTGCGTCAAGAAAAAGCGCGTAAAAGACACATAATTGACAAGAAATTCGGCATGAAGATTGATTAATATTTATTTTAATTGCAAAAATTATTGTGATAAAACGTATAAAAAGTGAAAGTAAAATTGCGAAAATAATTGTTTCTCAATTTCACAAGGTAGTATTCACAAAGTAGAAAAAAAAAGAAACGTGTCGACATTGAGAGGAACACCGCTTGCTTTGAAAATCCCACGTTTAAGAAACGTACGTTTCGTCTTGTCGAAATCCGATTACGTGAGTTCGCATGCTAAAAACGCGCAACCGACAAAATTCGACATGGAAGTCGATCGTGGTATTTGATCAAAATGCAACGACGCGTGTCCAGGTAAGAGGTGGAATGCAGTGAACTTTTAAATACATTGAACAGTTGCTGAGCGGGACCTTGTTACAGTTACTCTCGAATAATCGATTATGGTTGAGCTGATACCCGATCGTTCGAATTTACGATCGCCGAGATATTCTGCGTACAAGAAATTCATGCAAGATGTTGGTCGATGTTTTAATGCAAATACATGTGAATACTATTCATTTTATTTAACAAATTAATTTTTAATATATTTTGTTAAAAGAAAAAATTCTGTATTTTTACAATTCAGTAATCTTATTTGTGTATAAAAGTAAGAAGAAAAATATACACGAAATTTAACATACCGGTAATTCTGGACACATTTCCGAGCTCAGCACCTGCAAATCCGGCTACATGAGCGCCTAGGCTGAAGCCTATCAAATGCACCTTTTCTAACGGCACGTCCAAGCTGCGAATTAATTTTGCCAACTGTCGACCCACGAGACGTGTATTAGCTGCTGCTCTAACGTAATTAGGCACAGCGCTGCCAGGGCCCCAATCAACGCAAACTGAAATACATATTAGTTTATATTCTCTTTCGACAAGAAAAATAATTATTTGAGATGAAACTACGATTATACAACTATTACGTATTCATACTTGCAAAACAAGAAGTAAATATCAATAAATCACTTGAATTATAATTCTATTTTATTGCATAACGGCACAATTATATTATGTATTTCGAATGCGTTTAATAGCAATACGATTGTAAGGAACATAAATTTAGTAATAAATAATTGCCGTGTTACGTGTATAAACTTACTAATACGCATATAAATATAAAATTTTTCACTCAGATTCTGTAAAATGCATAAGAGATACAATATTTACCATAATTTTTCTAAATTCTTTACAAAATGGATCGGAACAAAAATGTATAAAAGGATTGAACGCTTATCGTTCAGTACGAATTATTTAAATGCAAATTTTATTAAATACCTATATTGCAGTCCTGGACGCTCATTAGCGCAGCTTTCATATCGTAAACCCACAAGTATTTGCAATTGCTTCCAAATCCATGCACGATTACTTTGGTGGGCAGATGGGGATCTATGGCACGGTGTACATTGTCGTTTATGTCATCGGCGGGTACTTCCATAGGGATTGATCTGGCTTTTCTACTTCCGTATACGAAGAATCTATTTAAAAATAATGAATATTTGATTATACAAATTGTTTACAACATAAAGAATTTTGTGTAAAATATGTTTTGCCATAACAGTGTCGAGTTGTACCGGATAATGTGATATCTTCTGCAATTTGCTGGAATATTGCATTTTTTAATTGATATTATCTCTACTTCTGCTCTTTTTTTACCTGGTTCCGACGTCCTTTGGCGGTGATGGTAGCATTTCCAAATAACTGAAGGGCTCGGTATCCTCGAAGCAACCGACTTCCTCATAGCAAACCTTAGACACTTCTCTCTTCGCTCTGTGATGAAACTTTTTGTGTAACGCCCATTGTCTCATTGATTCGACAACGGCGCGGAAAATTTCCACGTCGTTCTGTTCGTCCAAACTCTCTTCGAAAGACGAAAACACCTGTCCCACAACGGGGTCCGCTGAAATATTATTGTTATGCAATAAGAAAATGTGTAAACAAAAACGCACTTTCACAAGTTTCGAAACAACTTGTATTTTGCAAAAATTTAAACAGAGAAATATGTAGATATAAGATCAATTGCTATCAAAGTTATTTAACTTTTAACAAGTTAATTTTTTTAACAAGGATGCAATATTTTAGTAAATCGTGATTCTAATATCAGAAACCCTGATTTTTTAAATTATCCTTAAAATTGCTTATCAAAAATAAAGAATTCATGGGGATATTTGTTACGGTTTTGCCGGTTCATGGCTCGTAGCCGCTATCGTTATTAGCATAACGCCTGAATAACAATTTCCTGGAACGCCATGGTAATATTTTACACTTGACAAATCCATGAGCATTCTCGTTTTCAGGCTTCATTGATCATTTGCTATCGATCTCATCGGAATCCAATTACAATTTGGAGCAACCGTTACAAACAAGAGATAAGAGATAAGACGCTACTAAAAAACATTGATAAATTGAATTTGGAATCTTTGACAAATCTCGAGCTAAGTTCTTTTCAACGTCCCTTCGAATAATAAATAGTTATTTAATTTTGAAAAGAAGTTATAAAAAGAGAATAATGAGAGAGAAAGAGATTGCAATGTAGTGAATAAAATCAAAGGGATAAATCGTAAACAATTCACAATAATTTTATAATATTAGATAATTTTATGTCAGAGATAATATATCAGCTAATGACCAACATAGTAATACATTATTAAAATCATTTTAAACTTGTGTTGAATGCTCGAGTGAAGAAAGAAAGTCTCAGATATAAAAAAAATCACTTTACATGCATACTTGCAACACAATTTACATGAAAATAGATTGATGAAGAAATAATTGCCACTGGCAGAGAACGCAATCGCGTTGAAAACGTAATCGTGTCACGTGTTATTAAAGTCAATTTGAATGTATTTAACGGGAATCCCACGATATTTTTTTTTTACAAATGCGACTTGATAACACTGAAGATATTAACATATGCAGTTAATTATAGTGATAGTAGTTGACAACAGGGAGTCTATAATTAAAACCCCGTGAGAGAGTTGCCAACACGAGTATGAAAATGCATTAAATTACATTAATGCGCAATAGTGATATAATTTGCTAAGGATGCATTTACTACTGTTATGAAATAATAGACCGATAGTATTCTAATGTCTTTATGTTACGTTAGTTTTCATAAAAGCTAAGAAAAAGGATCTGAATTCTAAAAATTTAAAAATGAATAAAATGTATCAAATTAAAAAACACGTAGTTAATTCTTTTAAATATTTTATCAAATATTTTTTTTATCTTAAAAATGTTATTCTATTAAAATTGGATCGCTAGAAAAATAATAGAGTAGCAAAATTTATAAAAAAAAATCTTATTATTTAAATATTATAATAGTTTCAAAAATGTGTCATGGATATTCTTTGTATTATTGTTGGAAAATTATGATATTCCACGATTACTTCAGAGCAAATTCTATTGTGTTTTTCAGGATATTTCAGATAGCGCTATAATACACGCATCTTCTGCGCGGAGAAATTGTATAGGAATTACAATGCCCATCTCGCTTAGTTTTACAATTCTCATGCTTGTTTTCTTGATAAAAGCTACTGTAATCATTTGAGATGACTTTGAGAATTCCCCACGCGCGTGCATAACGTTACGCAAATGTCCACGCAATCGTCTGGTAATTTCGCATTTAAGGACAGCTAGCGATGAAAATTATTATCTGTACGCGTTCGAAATCGCTTCTTATCTATAGATTTCCGGGGTGCGAAACTGCAGCGCTCATCTCACTTGATTGAAATGATTGTTTGATAGCGCCGTAAGCAGTTTACGGTTTTCCCGACACACTGCGCGTTGACATAAAGTAGATAGGAAGTAAATTGTCGTGCACGGACTGCCGAGAACCAGCTGGAAACTGATGACATTTAACCCTCTTAGCGGTCTCGAGTGATGCATTTGCAATGACTCCGCGCGAATTTTATGTCATGTCACGTACGTAGGTGATGTCCCACTTCTGCCGCATTACTTTTTAATGCGACAGTCTCTGCGCGGCCAAGCTGGAGTCGATTTTTCTTCAACAAAGGTGTCGGGGCACGCGGAGGTTTTCCGTCAATAATTAAAAATAACGGGTTTCCGACTATTTAAGTTTCTTCAGCTCGAGCTTAATAGAACAGCTGGGAAAATTTTAATTTTTAGGTTTATGGCACACGGTTACAAAGATGTACGACGAACTCTTCGGACGAACCGCAGACTTGGCCGTTTCCTGCCGTCATTCCTGATCGTCTCGAGCCACCGGACCGGGTTAATGTCCGTGTCTTTGCGGGCCACACGAAGCCGGCTCGATTGGGTCGACGAACATGTCCTGAACTTACGACCCAGATCTGACCGAAGCCACGGCAAAGTGGAAGAAAGAAGCGGTAGGTACTGGGACGCTATCATAACGAATCTATGACGAAACCAAGACGGCTCGCAGAGGCCGCTTAATGAAGCCATGGGAATGAGTCGGCAAGCTGATTTACATGCATTCTCGTGGCTCGCGGCAATAACGCGTGACCGGTTCGTTGAGGCGCTCGTTTCGGGCGGGGAAAGGCGAGAAAACGAGCAACAATCGCTATATCTTCGATCTGCTGTCAAACTGGTCTATCGGATCAGACGGGAGAAATTGGCAAAAGGAAAACCGCGAGGAGAGCCCCGGGAGATCCCGATCGGCAGAGTGCGAGCATCATCGCCGCCGATGGTCACTTAGGCGAACGCGCCGTTTGACTTTTTGTTCGTTAGAGCTGCTCCACAAAACGAGCAGTAGATGAGCGAGGGAGAGCGGTGGAAAAGGGAAATCATCGATGTCGAAGATGGAGCGAGGAAATTAGTCGCAGCAACAATGTACGTTTACGAAATTTAAATTCGTACTTGAGTCATATCTTATCAAGCTTAATTCAATTAGTTATCAATTAATTTCTTATATATAGTGCACATTACACTTGTGCTTTCAGATAGCATTTCAACATCGTGAAATAAAATCACACGTATATGTCTTATATATTGCACTATTCATGTCACTACTTTATTATGTTTCAGGCAGTTTATTTTCTTAATGAGCAATGCTAATTGACTCATTCGTTTGGAGAAATGAAATAGAAACCAGTCTTGATCGTATCTTTTACGAAAATCTATTGAGACAAGTGGAATCGTAAAAAGATTACTCAGAAGACATTGGACTTTCAATTGGAAATTGTTAATTAATAAGGTATCATTAGATTTATCTGATAAACACGCAACGATGCCACACACGGCAGCAATTGTCTCGCGAATCATTCTTGGGGAACCGCTCCGTAATACGCGTCTTCCGTCATTCGTAATAGATCGTTTTCCCGTCTATTTATCAAATTGACAACTAAAGAAAGGCGTGTATAGGCCATTAGCAGTGAAATCGATTGTTTCTACTATTATGTGTCTTTCAAGAAATCCGCACGATATTGTTAATTAATTTGTTATTGAATTATTGCATTGACGCGATTGAAGTTTCCGTGCTTAATTATCGTGTGAAATCTTATCAGAGATATACTTAGTTTCATAGAAAGGTATCGTATACAAGGCGTCCCAGATTCGCCGCCTTTCCCTTTAATGGAAGTGACCCGAGACTAAACTAATTACACGAGGAGCTGCATCTGTAAATGTCGAGATACTTTTTTTTTTTGTTATCACAGTAACAAAGTATGTATGTACATCTCGGTTAATTTCGGGATAACGGAAGTTTAATTCGGGCGGCATCTGGGCAGCGACCGTTTCTTCGTAATAGATCGATACCGGTCGATTCACGGCGTGATGACCGCGCGAAATTCCTAATTGGGATTAGGTGAACGACGGCGCGAACGAGGTGGAGCGAGCTTAACGGTACGTCACGGCACGGCCCCGCACCGTGAACGGCTTGCTTTACAACGGGACCCGGCAGGTGTTCCTTTTGTGCTCTTACCGGCACAGACGTAACGAGAAAATCTAACATTGCACGTCCAGACGCGTAACCGTCAGAGTCGACAGGTCCTTAACACAAATCTCTCGCGTGAGCGGATCGCGTCAGAAGCGGCGCATTTATGAGCGCGTCATTAGGAGCGCAGGCACGCGATTCATTGATCATTTCGACACCATCGATTGCCGTCCTTGGAAAGCGAAACGTGTCGTACGAGCTCGCCTTTCGATGTTAGTCAATCAATTTTAGACCGCTGAATTCTTGATAGAATAATACGAAAGCGGCTTGTTTTGAGGATAAGAGGATAAAAGTTTGCGTAACATTTAATAATGTTCTGTAATGCTAATACATCAGGCAGATTACTAAAATTTTTGACGTTTAGAAAGTTTACTGCGGTTTACACAGGTATGGGTTTCGTAATTTATCTTTTTTGCTGAATATTTAGTTCATTTTTTTACTTGTAATTGATAACTATGTAAAAGTATAAGTGTACAAATACTTCTAATCATAAAAAAATCGACTAAAGGAAGTCATTTATTTTCTCCTTTAATATTTAATTCACTTATGTTTGATTGATAATTGTGTGTAAAAGTATGGGCGCGCGAATATCTCCGCCGAGAAAGGTCGGACGGAAAATTGACTAAAGAATCTCGGTGAAAAAATAACGCGGTGTAAGTGGGGCACTATGCGCGCGGATAACTGTGTTACAAAATCGAGAATATTCAAATGAGAACTGTCATCAGCCAAATAATGGGAATGACACGACTCGAATGCTCAGCGGTTCACGACGGGAATAATTACGCGACGGGTTCGTGTGGCATTCTGTGCGACCGATCCAGGCCACGATCGTAATCCCGCGTCGCGTGATCTCGTTCTCAGCACGGTCGGTCTCTGTAATTTCTGAGCCGCCTGCGCCGGCTGTCATCGAGAGATTATTCGCCAGCATTTCCGCGATCTCTGTGCCTGAGACAATGATCGGCGTCAGCGCGTTTCCGCGCGGTGCATCGCTCCGCTCGCCAGCCACGTGTTCCACGATGAGAACCCGGGACGGTCGCGATGGGAGAAGGGTCGAGACTGGTAGCAAAATCGGCTAGTGACACAGTTTCCAGAGGCTCGAGGTGAGTGAACTCGGACATAAACGAGCTGACACCTTCTCGCTGGGAATACACCTGGCCACCTCTCTCGTCGGAATTTAATTAAACTAGATCTACCCAGTCTTTGTTTGCGGATTTATTAAGTAATTTCGACAGAACATGTTCTACAAACACAATACCCACTTTTTAAAGTACACTTTGCTTACTAGTACAAGAGATCTTGCTCTATTAGTAATCTGCATTCGATTTCTCCTTAGCGCGATATTCCGTTTTGTAATTATTAGCTCTTCGATGAGTCATTTTGACATAAGAAATTTAGCTCTCGGAAGCTGAACAATCGCGGCCAACTAAGATTACACTTCAAAAAATTAATTAAAAATTTCACAAGAATCGATGCTTAAATTTTTGCTTATACTTGTAATTTTTCCACGAATTTTTATAAAAGTAAAGCATGGAAAATAGAACGGTAAGAAAGAACGTTTTGAACTACTTGTGGACCATATGTTGTAATGCTTTGTTACGTGGTTACGTTAAAATACCGTTATTAAGGTTTTGATGTGATGCGCCTTATGAGCATCGCACATCTGCATGCAAACGTTCCGATTACGCCTTCGCCCATTAATGGAACGTTTTTAACTTACATGCGCTAGCAAATGCGGGCCATGTACATCACCTGCTACCGAGCAAGGCCTGGTTTTTTTAAATGTAGACATTGTGTCTTGACGACTTTGAACTTTGCACGTTTGTGTTTGAATAAAAAAAAGCCAATTAAAATCACCGCACTTGACATATTTATATTTTTGCAGTGAAAAAAAAAACGAACTTATGTAAATCGCAAAATAAAGCAAATCTAAGGCTAAAGTGTTTATATAAATATGCAAATAAATTGTATCTGTACGTAAATGTGTCAAGATTATATATTTAATAATTAATAATAATCTAAGCTTACATATACTTAGAAATTAATGTTTTTTAAATAAAAATATCTTACAATTACAAAAATTTTAATTTTTGATCTTGAATACCTCGAATATCTTCTCTGAACAACGTTGCAAAACAAAATTATTTAAAATAAAATTTATTCCAACTTATACGAGAACTTAACCGAGAAAATTAAATTCTGGAGAAAAAAGAGAAGATAAAATGATTTTGTGATGATAGGATAGCTATATATATATATATATATATATATAAACACGCACAAATCATGTCGTAATCACCGCAGACGGCAGACAGACAGACAATTTAATATCTAAAGAAAAATCTTGCGGAAAGTGTAGGTGCGCCATGATAACTGTCGATGAAAGTCACCGATCTTTCGCAGCTGCGCCTTTTGCGTTTCACCGAGTGGGCGAGGGTGTAATAAATTGCTTTTCAAGGTCCCCGTCGTGGCCGATGCCGATGCGTAATATCGCCAATCGTACAAGTGCGCAAGGATCGGTGAAAATCGCACGAAACTGGGCCGATGCGGAAATAAATGTTTAGCGGTTAAATAATAAGAGTCGAGTCATGTTTATTCGAAGCTTCGTGTATAATCGCTTTCTACGCGCTCCGATAAATGCCCGAATTATCGAAGCATAATTTTTGCTAACTTTAGTAGCAAAAGTTTTAATATATGATGTTGAGACATTTGAATAATATTATAATCTTAGAATTCATTACCACTTCTATTTCTTTGTAATTAATTGCATTTTAATGATTTTGATTATTTTATAAACTGAAATAATCTTGATTTAAATGTCAGCTAAAAAAATTGTTTTTCTTTAATATGCGAAATGTGATATATGCTAGAATTAATGATATAATTGATGTTTGCCATTTGTTATTAAGCTCGAGAGAAATTAGCCAAGTGCGTCATGCGTTACGTGAAACTGAAAGAAATTAAAATCTGGTATGTTTCATTACGGTTTGTTAACGACTAATTTCGTATAAGCAAAATGTGGTTCTAATAACAAAATGACGGAAGAGAAGCGTCGAACTGAGAACAGGTCATTTACAATCATTTATTATCGAGTCGCTCTTTCATAATTTGCATGACTAAAACAAGTTCGCACATGTTAAAGGCTTCCGCCATCTATTCACAATCTTGCTTTTCACAAAAATTTACACGCGAAATTAGCAATCAGACACCTTACCCTCGGCTGTGGCAAACCAAACATTTTCTTCCGACAGGCAAACTATTATTCAGAAGAAATCTTTCGAAATCGTTAATGCCACAATTATTGATTTCACAAATTTTACTGAGACTTTAAATTTCCTGGTTAACAATTTCATCCTTTTTAACTTATGCCACGGCGTGATATCCGTCACTTTTACAAGTAGATAAAATTTTGTTGCTTTACCCGTTTACTTAATAAATATGTCTTTTTAACTTTCCAGAGTATAATATTTGTGATGTTTTATTAGTTTGTTCCAGCTTTTCTTGAAAAATCTTATTTAATTATATAGAGCAGAGTTGTACGAAGCATAAACAAATTATGAAACATAATTATTAGATAATCAATTTAATGATTGATTAATAAATTACGATTATTTTTACGCAAATATGTTTTATTCCTCATATTTTATATACATTTTGATAGAAAAGAAATAAAAAATAAAACTAAAATTAAAATATGATTTATTATATAAATTGAAAACTGCATCTTAGATAAATAATGATAAGTTATAATGAATTAGGAAGCTCCAAGAGAGGAGAGCTCGATCGCTGAAGATTCATGCCGAGAGTGGAAAAAGGAAACGAACAAACATCGTATACCGGAGAAAGTACCCAACATCGGCTCTAGAATTTCTCGACTTCTTCCTACGCTTATATGCGTACATACGAGTGCGAGTACCGCTATTTAAAAAAGTTATCGCAAATATACATCTCTCCTCGTTACTTCATTAAATTAGAAATCGGAAATTCGAATGTTTGAATACGCAGTAAGCACGTATGCTACAATCTGACATTTTATCGCACGCTATTACAGAAACTATTAATTGACAAAGTGCACAATATATCAACATTGGAAAAAGTAGAAACGTTATACCCTGCACTTTTTTTTCAAAAATAAATGCAAGCCGTTACGTCTGTCCAGTATGGAAAGTATCGATAAATTATCAAGCATTTTATTTAGAGGTACAAATTAGAAATAAAATACAACGTTATTGACTGCATATTCGTATACGATCATGGTGGAATAGAAAGTATGAACGCGCGATAAAAGTTTTCATATGCTCGTCCATGCTAAATGCTTCAGTTAATTTTATGGTATTTCGCGATTTTATCGTGTTACTTTGTCAGGCTGGCGTTGGGTTTACGATACGTAAAAACAAACGCTCACCGGAAACTGTTGATTGGACTTGTATTTTGGTTTAGTAATCTTCTTAAAAAATATCTTATTCTTCTGTCAGATAATCATGCTCGATGTATCGTAAGTCCAATGTCATCTCGAGGAAGAACAAAGAAATTGCAGGATATCGTTTCGAGCGAGCGGCTGCTGTAGTCAGCAAACCGTTCTGTCACGACGCGACATCGCATCGCGGCTGGAAATAATTGCCTGCTTTTTCTTTCGTCGTTCATTCCTCCGTGGGTTTTCAGTGTCGTCGCGGCCGACGGACCGAAAACGTCACCGCGCTCTTCCTCGTAACCCGGAATCGCGGTGGCTCTCCAACGTAATTACGAAACAACGGCCAGCATAATGCGATCGCAGCTGTGGCAGGCTGGTTAATTTCGCGCGACAGTAAAATTGCTATTACGCAGCTGATTCGATAATCAGATGTTTCCACGTTTCCGTTTGTTTAGACGTAACGCGCTTTTCTCGCGGATCATTTTACGATCGCCACTTATTGCATGCGCGAAAAACATCAACACTCTTCATCTACGCAGTCTACATTTTTCTTTTCTTAAGTTTATATCTAAGGAGACTTTTCATCAATTTATTTACCTGAGATAAAGCAAAGAGTAATTAGTAAACGGACAGCAAAAAATTTTATTCTTTTGATGATATTCCGTTACAAAAGTCGAAGTTGCAGTCGAAATTTCGAAATGACACTTCTCGCTAGATGGGTCTCTGATCATTCATAAAAGCGTGAAGTGAATTAAAATTTTCTCCAAACACCTTTGCTTTTACGTAACGACTTGCGCAAATTGCCGTTGCACAAAATTTTTCTGGCACATGCGCATCGTGCCACATCGTAGTGCATTACATACACTGAGTCAACGAGTTTGCGTAACAATCTTTGTTGTGTGCAGGCCATTTCAGTCCTTTCACTCTTAAACTAAGGGGGCACTGAAGGGTTAATGACCATCGATGATGACTCTCGAAGATAAAAGCGCTTTGAGACAGCCGAACGTAGTTCGATCGAACCGGTCGCATCATCATTGTGAAACCTTGGCTTATTAGTCTGCCGACCGGTTTCGGCTTTTTTGATGAGAAAATATCGTAGGCGCGTTAAAGGGGAACGATGACCCAATTGACAGAGATTGGTTAAAATATCAACATTTTGGTAAAAGAAGAAGAAAGTACTCGATACGCCATTAATCTTGATTATGCGGAATGTGTCCGATATTTTATCATTCTTTTACATTCCAGAGCGTACAGATTTGAATCTGCATTATTAAATTCTCATAAACACAAAATTAATTGCGCTAATGAATAGTGGAAACTAGTTAAGTCTTTGCTCAGTCAGTCACAAACCATTTCGATTCATTTATTCCGTGAACACAATGACGGCTGTGACCCAAATAGTAGCTGATGCTTTCAGAGAGACCTTTCTCTTTCGCTTCTATCGGGTAGATTTTATTTTTGTTCACGACCTTGTATAGGCAGTAGCGAACACGTCGTAAATGGCAAATCACACTGTTAAACATACTAGTATCACATTGCATGATCGATTGTAATCTATCAGTGTCAACGTAAGAAACTAAATTCATCACGTCGTTTAGCACACACAAAGTTGAGCAAATGCTTGAAGATAGTTCCTGTCAGATTTTATCTCAATATACTGAATACTGACGATCGTCTATCGGATAGAAGTGATTGGATCTAATTGAAAAGAGAAGATGTACTCTTTGATTTCGAGCGATGTGATCTTGCTCATATCCTTCTTCGTCTTTCGCGTTACGGGGAGAAATTAATTCGCCTGGAGAAAGGCGAGTCACACTTTGTAAAAAAAGGGTCAAATCCGCTATATACTCGTAGAATCGAACATCACGGATGATGAGTCATAAAGGTATTCGATGTCTAAACATCTTTCAATTAGTAAAGTCGGAACACAATCAATAAATTATTGTGCAAAGAAAAATGCAATCATTAAAAGATATATAATCATCGTCGTGGCTTTAATTTACATATTATTATAATCCTTCTTTTTATCGCTATTTTTAAAATGTATGTGTCGAAAATGTGAAATAAATTTTACAAATCTAATTTCTATTAAAATAGATGCTAAAATATACAATTAATCGTTTGCAAATGTTTATTATTAATAAAAACTTACAATAAAATATTGCTATTTAATCCATTTAAAAATTTTTAATTATTTTATGGGAAATCTTTAAAAATATTTTTAAAAAGTTATTAACCCATCACAATTCTTTTGATAGATTATTACTAATTTCAGTGAAAAAGTGTAACATAAAATCTAGTTCAAATAATAAAGTCGAGTAATTTAATGTTACTTGAATTTTTAATGACAAAAAAATAATTTGATGAGGATAATTAATAGTAAAGAGAGAGTGTTGTCAATTAATTTCGCGTTTCACAGCAATTTCGGCCATTTTAATATAATTGAGACGTCATATATTGTAAGGACTATAACGAGACTGGCTTTCTTCGCGCCGCTGAGAACTCGGCGCCGTTAAAGAAATGCTCTTCCTACTTTTTGCACGACCTTTCTTGCGCCTTCATGAACGTAAACAGGCGTACGATTACTGCGATTAAATTTATTTTGCCGAGGTAACCGAGGAAAGTAATCGGCTGCAGTTTCACGGACACGATCATACAAACAAACGCTTTCACGAGGACCGCGGAATATCACACGTTGATTTTCTATCGTTTCCTCAATTAGCAAAATGAACAACTCATTCAAAGCCGTAACTAAGGATTATATTGTTTATCGCAAATTATATTTTTTGTGCGCTTTCTGTGACGGAAATAAACTTTCACGTTAAATGTTAACAGAATTAAAAGTTTGAAATATTATTGGAATTGCACTAATGCTTCGTAAATTATTTGTATATTAAATATTTTAAAAAATAATTCTCTATTTTTTGCATTACATAAAATAACACGTGTAGTGAATAATTCTTTAGCGTTCCATATAATAGTCTCGTTGTTACGTAAACTATCAAATAATAACTTTATTAATAATGTCAATCTGCGCGCGATCTTAAATCAGTTTCTAAACACAAAATTAGGAAATAACCTGTCTGAAATTGGAAATTTAATTGTGCATCTTTGCGGATGTTGTATTATTGCGCGAGGCCTTCCGAGATCATTGCATTAATCTCTGACGTCTTTCACGTGCATGCATATAATATCGGTATACGAACGTCGCTTTCACTGCTGTCGGAGTAACCTTTTTGAACGCTTCTTGCGGCAACGCGTCCGTGAAATTTGTACCTACGTCATTACGCTTGAAATCTCTCTCCTGCCAATTTTATTTTCGTTGACCCTAAAGAGCACGAGTGATTTTACATAGTTGGAGGCGACAAAAAAATTCTTTCTAAAAAAATATAATTTCTTTCGCTTGTCTCTTTACATTTACATTTTTTATGTCCACAACGTTTTAGTTTTTTCTTTTTATTGTTTTTATCGCATATTGTTCTATATTTTATCGTTGATTAGTAGATTAGTAAAAAAACTTATTTACCTATCTACCTTATTATTACATATCAAGCATCTTGCGACACGCACTAGTTCGTTCAGAAATTTTATTTGATTTTACATAGATAATTGTGTTAGATTGTATGCAGATGATGAAATTTCTCTTCCGCCAAAATTGTGAAAAAACTAAAGCAGTGCACTATTTGCACATAATGTATATATATCCGACTCGATGTAAACTCGAATGTGTATTGAACATTCGAGAAAGTGAGGATCAATCATTAAAAAAATTATTTTAATATTCACATAAATTCGAAACTACCCATTGAAATGCAAATATTTAAGCAAATACGTTCGCCACCTCGTTTCTTGGGCCAATCCTCAAACAGTGAAAACGGTTTGTGGTTGTCAGACACCGTTTAAAAACCGCGTCTAAGATTGAAGACGTCACCGCTGAACTCACATCCGTCTTTGTGAGATTAAATAATTGTCCTCAATTTGCTAACGGTTCGTACAGTAAAGAATGTATGATATATCATGAATGAATGTTATTATGACATAAATGTATTATGAGAAAACAATGGCGAGAATCGATCGAAGTAGTTCAATCAGTTATGGATTTTATGGTTTTTTATATAAATTTAAGCAATCATAAATGCATAAGCTATTACTATTAATAACTAATAACAACAGAATGAAAGCATAGCTGAATATATGATATATATATTAAGAATTAGCATCAATACTTCTAATTTGCGGCTTATTTATAAATATAAATATAAAGAAATATGCATTTCTTTTGATTTGAAATATCGCTTACCGAAGAAACTGATCCATCGTAATATCCAGAAAGTCAGAAGAAGTTTGCCAATCATCTCACGTCTCTGGACAATCCCGGAAACTTCTTTAAAAGTCTTCCATCATCGTGGACGGTTAGAAATCCGTCGTGCCACGGTGGATCGCATCAAGAAGACACGAAGACATCAAGCTCGCATCCTGCCGTTTTACTTCAACTCGATGATAAGACCGGCAAGAAGCAAAGAAAGTCTCTATCCACGTATCGACGGAAAAAGGATCGATAAATTGTTGTTCTCCGGATCCGGACAATTTTCTCTTTTTCTTACAATGTCAATTTCTTAATCGTATTTTCTAATACATTAACATTAAGAAATCGCCAGTGATAGAAATTTTTTTCGCAGATTTATGTGACAGTTTCCAATGGCAATCACGTAATTAATTAATGATACAATAAAACTAAATCGTAAACGCGAAACAGTTTCACCGCTTCTGGATATTTTGATTTATTTTCCAGCCAGAAAAGATCGAGACAGAAGTAGGAAGTAACACTGCGTCGCGGTGTATACTCATCGACTCGTTCGGCCGTCTGCTTTCTCCAGGAAAGAACTTTAGGCTCCAAATTCTTGTCGTCGCAAGTTCTTGTTCTTATTTATGTTTAATGTTTAATATATCCGTGACGGTGGCACGATCAACTAGATAAGAACTAGGTTTCACGTTTTCTCGCTGTTCTGTCAAATAGATCTCCGAGCCGTTCTCCGAGGCTGAGCAACGAAAGTCTCGAGCGACACGACATCGATCAATTTTGCGGGCTCGCGAACACCTGGCTGTTGTTTTTTTTTAATGAAACCATTCGTCCTGAAATGGATTTTTCGAGACGGCGTAATTCGCGATGCAGTTTTTACGGTGTGATGGTACCCGACGCACGTCTCGCAGCGTGCCGGAAACGAGCAGAGAGAGAGAGAGAGCGGTGTTCGCCGTGCCAGCGTAAGGCTTGCAAGAGCACGAGAGTTGCTGCTACCTCGTGGCCTACTATAACAGAACTGACTCCCACCGTGGTGTTACACCGTCTCTTTACCTACCATGAGCAGCATATACTGTTTAAGAGCCGTCTTGCGACGGTGATCGGTCGGTTGGTCCCTCCACTTCGCGACTTCGCTACCGCTGCGCGAAGACAACGTCATCGCGAAATCGTATTTGAAAGTAAAGGACAATTTTTATGGTTTCAAAAATAATATAGCAAAGATCGATGGTGTACGAAAATTTGACAGCCTTTGATTAGATACGATTGATTAATTTACGACTGTAATTGACTAAATTTACAGTTCGACTTCTTAATAAAGAAATACAGTTATGCGAACAAAATCAGATTGAAGAGTCATGAAATCGATTATGGAACACAAGCCCTCTCGTTATTTAACTGTATTAAAAATATTTTTATTAGTTTTATAATTAATTTAGATTATTTTTCAAAATATTCCTGAACTCCAAAAGATGCAAGGCAAACATTGCAAGTTGATGTGCAATATATGATATTTGAGTAGAATTTACTTTTGGCTTACATTTACTAGAACTCGGAAAAGTTATATATAGCAAGGTAAATATAATCCTTTGGAATAAACTAAATAGATATTAGAAATTTAGAATAAATTAAATTAATAAATCTACTTAATAAAAATATAAAAATCTTTAATATTTCTTTATTAATTTTTATTTTTTTATTATTTGAAATATTTTCATCACCTTACTTAAAAATTTCTAATTTGTTGAGTTCAATACAAGATTGAACTGTTATTTGACAATTCTAATAGGGATAGCCTATTAATATTGAAGAGTGGAACTGAGAAAATAAATATTAAGACATTGTAAATGCAATCGTAAGCAATCAAATAATGAGGAAGACCGTTGTCCTGTAATAAATTATATGACTCTTGAGCTTGATTTTGTCCGCGAATAACTGTATCTATCGAGAAGTCGAAGATACAAGTTTAATTGATTGCAGATGTAAAGATGCATTATTAAATTGTATATATAAAATCTGCCTATAAAATAAGGACGCAGAGATAGCGATAGCGCATACACGGTTAATCATGCGAAACTTTTTTTGCAATGCTCGTATGACTAATGCGCAAAAAAAAAAACAATTTTCTCGTAAAACAAGTCGTATTACATGTGTACAAACATGTGCACAAAACATTTCGTACTATTTGCATTTGTGGTATTAAACTCGTCAAGATAAGCAGCGACAATTGCAATAAAGTTCCGCAAAAGTAATAAATAAAGTATAACGGAAAATAACGGAAAATAACGGAAAATTTTGTCGTTATAGCTCCATTGTAGTTGTTTTTTGGAATATTAAATTGAATTTTTAATAAACAGGCTTTTTATCAAATGCTTAATATTCTAATGCTCAGTCTAGAACGAAGGTGATCCTACTTATAGTTCATCCGAATGGATAATTTGACAGGTGAAAATTTTATTAAAATTGGCTTTCAATCGTATCAACGAAAAAAATTTTTTTAAATTGGATAAAAAAAATTATTTCACACGGTTGATACGATTAAAAGCCAACTTTAGTATAATTTCAACCTGTCAAACCACCTACTCGTAGCCACAAGTAGAATTATTCTCTTGTCTAGACAGAGCATAATCTATAAGTATATCATACAAAAATATGTAATAAAATATATTATATTTAATAAATTAATATATAAAATACTCAAGTGTGTAAAATTAAAACTTTTTGCTACATCAAATACAAAAATTTTAAATTTTTCTTGATTTTATCAATTTCTTGATATATACAATTCTTGATATTGTACAAGTTATTTCAAAATTAGCAAAAAAAAATGTAACTTTGTTTTTTCAAACTTGGAATTTTTTTTACACACTGTCGGTTATCATTGTTTATTACTATTACTATTATTAGATAAAAATTACTATTACTATTATTAGTCAAACGATAATATGGCCTATTCGATTTTCCATGTCACCAGCTGATAATCAATTTCGTTGTATCAGCACAAAATGTTCGTAGTAACTTGAATCTTCGGTGGTATGCAAAACGCGTTCTAATACTTTATAGGCAACTCGTGTAGGTATAGTTGCCTAATAAAATTTTTTCGCTTCTGTCGTAATAATTTTACGATGACTGAAAGTGCTTGTGTTAATAATAATGCTTCAAGCGATGTGTTGACACACATTATACACATCACGTTTTTCCAGTTCGCCAAAATAATTCGATATACTGATGACGAATAAAATTTTATATATAAATATTATAAATTTTATATAATTATATATTTTGACAATAACTGAGAAGTCTTAATTCAATAGAAATATAAATTTTTCAGGATATCAATATTTCCTTAATCTTTTTGTATCTAAAGTTTTCTACCACTCTAATACCTAAAATAACGGGCATATATCCTAGAAAATTAAAAAAAATTTTTGTTTAAATAAAAATTTCTCAGCTATTTTCATAATTATTAATTTTAACTGCATTGGAAAATTTTATTTGTTATCAGCATATCGAATTTTGATTTTGGTGAACTAAGAAAGCATAATATGTGTGTAAATAAATATATATATATATATATCTAGTCTAAAATTTTAAATTAATTTTATAATTAATAAAAATTACACAAAAATTTTTACAATATTTGAATATTTTTACAATATTAGTTTACTCTTCTTTTATTTTTCAATTTTATTTTACTATACGATTAAATGCAGCACGGTATTAATAGAATTTTATGCAGATATTCTGTGTTTGAAAAATTATAACAGATTTTTAGCACGTATGCTGTATCCGCTTTTTTATAATCTAACAAGTTCGAAAGAAGTTTTAATAACCAATCAGAGTGATATTTTTATTAAGCCATCACTTTCGCTAGTCCGCGTCTTTATCGTGACAAGACTTTCAGTCATAGCACGTCGTCGAAAGTTCATCCAACGTTTCATCCTGTAATTATTTACGATTAGCACGAGGACGACGAAAAAGTGCGTGCCTGCGTGCGGAGGCGAGAATCAGAGAAAGTTGTTGCGAAGAAAATCGTTCTAAAACAAACGACATGTCGGCTTATCGTTGGTCACAGAGAACCTTTCTTGTCACGCAATCACATACCGTAGAAATGACAATGCATGTGCGCTACTTGTGCAAAACAAAACTATGCTCTCTTCTAATAACCGCTAATCACATAATGTGTCGCGATGTCGGTCTTCAAGTTTTATAAAACAGTATTTGCATGTACAAACGGAATGTGCGTGTACGATGTGAAAAAATTTCAAATTATCCGACTTATTCATAAGATAATTCTGAGATAATAACAAATTTAATTAAACGCGAATTATACGAATTAAGCGACAAAGTTCAATTTTTAAGACAGTAGCAGGCGAATGTACTTATTACAATTTGTACATTCGTCACGCATTACACAGAAATTTCACTCGCCCAGCAATGCGGCCCCCTCATCCGGATGTGAAAACGAGTTTATTCGAACGATTATTGCCCATTGAGAAAGGAATATTATTCGAAAGCGGTTCAAACCTGTAATCGATTCGATTTCCGTCGCATATAGTCTACTTTCTTTTTCAAACAAGTTCAAGGTCGTTCTTCAAGAAAATTAAGATTTTTATATTCAGTTTTTTTATCATATATTTTTCTTCATATTTAATTACTTATTTAACTAACTCCAATTTTTAATTCGTATGATTCATACTTTGCATTCGACAAGTGTTTCGGAATTATAAAACACACATTTTAAAATGTTATTTTATATGCTACACTTATGTAAGATAGATTTCATCAATTTTTGCAATATAAACGTTAGAAAGGAAAGATGACATAATAGAAGAGAAGGGATTAAACGTTATCCTGGACAATTCCATGGAGTTTAACTCTTCTATTGTAAATTCCTAACATTACTCTATATTTGTACAAATATAGAACACAATACTTACAATATTATGTAATATTTATTATCTATGTATGCATTCTTATTTTACAATAAATACAATGTGCTATAGTAACCAAATACAATATAGTACAGATTTAGTCTCTTCATTGCTGTTTGGCTTTGAAGTATAGATCACAAGAGTTTAAATAGTATTTATATTATTATGGTAAAAATGCGTAACAGTGGGATATCATATCAAATAAAAAATACAAATAAAAAAACTTGCATAAATGTTTCAAAGGAGTAATTTTGTACTTTGATATAAATAACAGGTATAATACAGATTCCAGAAATATTAAGATCACTTCTTAAAGTTAAGATACCTATTTTCATCAAAGTTGTCCTCAATGTCCTCAGTTATAACTATCTTTGTTTTCGGTTTACACATTTCAAGCTTCTTTTTCTGTTCTTCCTCTGTAAGGTCTGCCATATTAAATGGAAGAACTATTATCTTCCGTGGCTCATGGTATTCGATCTCTATACTGCTTCCATCTGAGAAAACGAGTGTTGTAGGATATGTGCACTCATATGTTGCTCTGTGTTTCTTTGTAATTGCAGCTGTCCAACAATTAAAATATCTGCGCAGAGCTGTCGTAGAACTGCCAATTCGTGCAGGTGAAACGATCATTCTAAAATAAGTAAATACATTTATGTAGCTTATAAAATTATGTTATATATGTCCAAACTTAAGTATAAATAAGAGACAATTAAAAGACAATTCATTATTTTTGAATGTAATTTTGCGCAATATAACTAGATAAATATTACATTTTTTCATTTACAATGTATAAAAATAATACAAATAACTAAAAATACTGAAATACTACACAAATATCACATTTATTTTTATAGGTTATGTCGCTCATCACAAGTAACAACACTAAATATTATGTAACATATTCTTCTACAATTACTTAAAAATTATATCGCGTTTTCTAACCTATTCCGCTATTGCCGCTGGTAAATATCTCGGATAATTAATGGAATTTTACCTGTTGGAGCGATCGACGAGTAAAATGACTTAACGCAACGACTTGACGTTCTGCGAAGTAGAGCGATTGAAGTAGTCACGTGTTCTCGTCCAACGAATCGGCTGTCGATATCGAATTGCGATTATCGAAGGATTTGCAGTTTTGTAAATGCGTTACGATGAGCACTTCTCTGGCAATCATTCATTTTTGCGGTGCGGACACACGGGCGATGCGTGCTTTGGCGTGCGATTTGACTTGGAATCGATTAAGAATTTGACTTTGCGTGTCTCCATAGAAAAAAGAGGTATTTCAACATTGGGTGATGACTTTTCGACGCCGGGAAAGACGATGAGCGATTCGGGGTAAGTTGATTTAATTTCTATTCATCTTCCAAAGAGATTTCGGTTGCTTACGTGCACAGTTATATGCAATTTTTCTGCGAAACATGTATATAATACACGATCGATGAGGAAAGAAGGACGTTTCGGCTTGCGACGAGTAATATTTTAAGTGTTCTGACGAGATTGATGAAAAACAAGCGATACGCGCATTTATATATTGCACACGCTTTCGGACTCTTCCTGGCAATGGCCAAGTACCTCGATATAATCTGTACGATTCCTGCAAGGAAGGGAATTATACGACACATATTTAAGCAAGTCAAGGCGAGCGGCGATTTCGGAGATTCCTCGATCTATTGCGCTCGATGCGCTTAAAGGAAATATCGAGTCTCTCACGAAATATCGCCGTTAAAGAGTGTATTACACTGATTAGTAAAGTTAGTTGAGTTAGTAAACTTAATTAATCCGGGAAATAAGATGGCCGATTTTTTTGATGTACCTATAATAAAAGGAATTGTTTTGATAAATCATAATTTTATTATTTATTTAAATATAGGGAAGGGAATAAAAAATTATAGGAATAAATTTATTAAGTGAATAAAAAGGAACTTATCTATAAAATTAAATTATTATTCCTTAAAATGTGAAAATAATTCAAGTTTTTAATTTCTTTTTATTCCTAACAACTCTCTAATTATAAACATTCAAAATTTATAATTTTTAATGTTTATAAATTTCTATCAAATTCTATTCAATCAATTTATTTATAGTAAAGAGAACAAACATTACATAAAAAATAACGGGCAACGTTACTTTTTGTTACTAAATTGCAACGAAACTTTTAAATAACAATATGTTTTTATGTATTTGTTCATATTGAAAATAAAAAAGTAGGCATGTATTCCCGGATTAATAATAAAAATCCCATACTTTCATTCAGACGGTATACGATACAACACACAGAAAATCATATTCATTAAGCACCCAAATTCATTCGAACAATCACTCTCCCAAATTATATCTAAAATTGCTACAAAGTTTTTCACCATCGTGCAATTTGAAAGACATTTGCAGTGATTCTACTCTAGTGCATAAATATTGATATAATCTAGTGCATAAATATTAATATAATCAATAAATATGTGCTTCATGCGTATGATGAATATTTTTATACTTATTTCTTTTTCTATCGAATATACGATACTATTCATAAATATACTTTTTTTTAATAATATTTTACATGTTTTCAATACAATCTAAATATTTTTCTGAGAACTTAAATATATTACTTTATCTTTCTCCTCTCTAAATAAAATATCATGTTGTACTATATTAATATATATATAGTACAATAATTTAGTATTAATTTAATTTAAAATATTTTTTTATTTGAAATTTTATAGAAAATGGTGTTCATTTTATTATATAATAATATGAAATTGTATATAAAATAATGAAAATTAACTTTTATATGATGATAAAATCTAGCTACTTGATAAACCATACAAATTATTTCTCTTGTAACAATATAAATATAGATGTCTCGTAATTTTCAACAAAAAATTAACATTATAAAATCATCAAATCATCATTTTCCGTATATATCAATCTTCTAATGTTTTTATTTTACATTCGATGCTGTTGCCTACTCTATGTGAATCTTTGTAAATTTATGATTTATTCATTTATTTTCTCAATGATAATTAAATGATATATGATTCTATGGCAACACTTTGTGTGTATATGTGTACTATTTTTTATTTAAAAAATTTTTTCAAATTTGATTTAAATTAAATTAATTAATTAATTCAGAAAAAATTTAAGCAATTTTTACATTCTATCTAAATGTATTTCCTATGCGCATGCATGATAGATGAATTACTCATTCAAATTTATAAGAAATAATATAAAAATACGTCTATAAAAAGATAGATAATAGAAAAATTTCAAGGAAAGGAAAATAGGTCCTCGATGAAGTCACTATATTCTGCCCTTCAAGTCAATCATCTTCTCATCGCTATGTCTGTAAAATCAAAGTTTTGCTCTACCTCATATCTACAATTGTGTAGTTCATTAAAAGATGAGATAGAATGGCAACGTGTAGACATATGTGATAAAAAAAAATCTAACAATAAATGAATGAATATTCTGTTCTGCTACAAAAATGGTTAATGTACTTGCTGTATACGATATCAATGATATGTTCAATTAAATCTCGTAATTTAAGTAACAAAATTCACAATTAAAGCAACAAAGCAAAGTCAGCTGTTGTGTTAATAATGTTAAATAAAATTGTGCGGTTAACGACACATATTTTCATAAAATATGTAGTTGAAACTACGATATAAAAAAAGGATTAATAAATACATATACTTTTTACATGCATGAAATATTAATGATAATACTTATTGAATTTTATCTAAAAATTTTGAGAAATATTCTACTAGACACTATCATCATTTTATTAGCAATATAGATTCAGATTGCCTAAAAAAACACACAAAATAGCATGTGAGAGAAAACAGATACAAAGCACAGGCAATGCTAAAACATATATGTATACGTACCTGTATAAAACATAATGTTGAATAATGAAAAATATATCAAACGCCACCGAAAAGAATCCCAGGCCGAACTTAGTCGGATCTCCGAAAATACTTTCCCAATCGTCTAAGATAAAAATTATTAACGTTAACATTTCACAAAAAATTAATTTATACATTCTGACGCAAGACGAAAGTAAATTTCTTTGTATATCCGTGTCTTTACCGTAGTTGTAAGCGTTGAGTATCATCTGTAGCATTGATAAAGTGCCACCGGTAAAATCTAAGAATATATTTCCTATACTCCAACCGACAGTAGATTTCCTTCGATAATTATAAAATGCTTGTGGTATATATTTGATAAGCGTTATGCTGAGCTTAACGTAGCTGCAGTAGTAAAGGAAATCTAGCCAGTTGATTGTTTTGACGCAAGATAATATCAAAGATATTAATATAAAGATCGCAAATACTCCGTGAATAATACGTGCGATCGTTGATACTCTTTGACTGCCAATCTAGAATAGAAACAAACACGATTATGTTTCAACTATTGAATACCTGTGAAAATGATCTGTTTCAATTAATTAGTGTGATTGAAACTATATTTAGTTACCTCATAAATGAAACACTGTCCAATAGTTACTACGGTAGCAAATACTGCGTGTAATGAGAAAAATATATCATTGATTTGTACAGGATTTAAGCCTTTCGGATAGCGATTAAAATATTCATTCTGAAAAATTTAAATCAATTAATCGATTATTATTAATAGATTAAAATTTCTAATGCAAAATTTAATTTATTTTAGATAATATTTATAATTTATTTTATATATAATATTTATGTTTCTTATTTCATAATAAAATATAAATAAAGGATTTCTCATATATTAATTACAAAGCAAGTATTAAAAAATAAATGGTAATATCTTACCTCAATCTCAGGTATCCAGTAGAGACCACAATTAAACAATGCATACATAAGAAAACCAACAATATTCAGTGATAGGTAATCAAAATTAAGACCCACAACACTTTTACGTTTATAATTGATATAGATTTGTGGATAAAAGCTTACACTCCATGCTAAAAAATATACCCAACCAACCACAGCACTAATATGATAAAGTGCATCCGATTTTTCTATTGTCACTCTGACAAATGCTTGAGAAAAACTAAAAAAGAAAAAATATAACAAATAGTTATTTTAAGTTAGGTTACCCATATAAAATTATTCGACGTTATTTAAAAACTAGGGGGTATAATATTGCATTTGCTCACTTTGAATCGATCGTATTCAATTGATCTCGTGGTATAACGATAATTTTATACATAGACATCTCCCAACAATTCTTTTTAATTATTATAAATTCAGAAATAAATCTTTTACAATACTTTTGGCAAAAAAATTTCTAGGACTATTGTTAAACGTAAAATGTAATAATATAATTTCTAACTTTTGTAAATATTTTGTCACCGACATGTATTGCGAATGTTGATTAGCGAATGTTGATTAGCAAGTCACAAAAAAATTTTTTTAACCACATCACATCACGGATAAATTTAGACAGAACACCAGCTTTGTACTAGGAAGTATTCTGTACCAAATCTGGACACAGACTGACGAAACTTCAAGTTCCAACACCATTGACAAGTTAAGGTCAAGAGGCTATCTGTACAGCTTTAGCTAGCACAGTGCAATGTAATGTGAATATTATACTTGATCGGAATCTTTTCGGAATTAGTCATGACGATAAAGAAGGTATCAGTGTCATAGGTCTCTGCTGTTTATTGTTGTGCAATATTGATTACGAGCATATATATTATTTTACTCATTACGAATGTATATCTATCTGTAATCAGCTGTATATACAAACGCATACATGTTCTGTATTCGTATGTTGCATATATGTATACATTTTATATGACAGCTGATTCAATTTTATCAATCAAAATGTGCAGCAGCAAGTCTTTATAAAATATTTCATCACTTATACTTACTCTATAATATCAATAGAATTCACATTAGCACTAACTACTGAATGGCCTGCATTCAGACCTTTTACATAAATTAGCTGTTCTTTTTCATTTGTGAGATTAAAGTTGGAGGGCTTGACAGCTATCAAATCAGGATGTTGTACATCTATTGTAACTTTTATAAACTTCTCAGGATCTCTGCAAAATAAAACATATATAATATACTTGATGACACAATATATTATTGTTTTTTTAATATATGTACAAAGTTATAATATAATCCTAAACACTGAGATAAGTTAGTCATCTATCAAATGCCTCTAATTGCATGATTAAGTACAAAGTCCAGTGATAATATCACACTTTAATATCATAATTAGCTGCTTTTTGTTATCAATATTTTATGCGATAAAACTGATTCTGTCATGACTAAGGCATGCTGTGATTAAGTGGAATATGGGTGAAGGTAATACTTTTTATTACTCGTACAGAATCTTTTGATCTAGCTTGATCTATTTTGTAGAATGAATACTGTGCAATATATCATAAATATGTACATGATCTCTTGAAAGCAATATAAGGTACCCATATCACAAATGTGTAACAGTCAATAAAATTTATAAGTGCTCAGTGATATTCGCTGTGCTCGTTATAATGATGCCTGCTAAAAACACATAATTATAAGCTACTCACGTCAAGGATAAGTTAAATGACTTTTCTTGATTGAGTTGTATTTTTAAATCCTGCGTTGACACTTTAAGAGCCCCCTGAATGCACGTAACAACTATAGATATAAGAGATACAATTTACATTAGCAAAGAATGTTACATGGTTTTATATTTCTTAATTGTCTTACCTGATAGTATTAGAACGCATACATAATATAGTAAGGCCATGTTGCACATTAACTGAAATAAAATTGTAAACAATATTTAGGCTTGTATTATCGATTGTTTCATGAAACAGTTAACATTACAGCAGTCATTCTTGTAATATACCATTATCACTACAATTTTTCGCATATTTCGTGTAAAATCATATCGCGCGTTTAACTAGCGCGAATCGCGCGTGAAATTAATTAAAGATTGCACTCGACAACACAGAGATATGAGCATGAAGCAGCGTGGATCGCACGAGAGAGTGGCGTGTTTAACCTCAAAATGTGTGGGGTCATCACAACTCATATGATACGATGACACTTCGCGTTCTGCAGCATCTTGTTAACTGTCAGCGGCACTAGTCAATGATCTCGATAACTGACTGATGCGGCGAGCATTTTGCAGTATTGTATTATTAACGTCATCGAATTTCCGCGGCTGTCAATGCAATATCGTCGAATATCATAATACCGCCGTCGACTATATTTATCATTCGATACACGTAGGAGGTTAAAAACGATAAGAAATGATAAGGTAACATCAATGAATATGCTATATGGAATATTATTTAGTCACAAAAAATTGAAAAAAAAAAACAGAGATATTGCATAAAGATTCAGCTGTTTGATAACAATTCGATAAATATTGGAATTTCCTTGAAATGCTACATCATTTTTTCTTTGTTTAATGAATGGGAATATGTAAAAGGAATAACGAGAGAATGATATAACTATTATATATTATTGTGTTTGTTATTTCATAATCGTTTAAAAAAGATTTAAATTTGAATGTCGGTTTATTTCCGATCAACATCGGTTTTTTTGTTAGTAGAAAAAGTAATGACATAGCTATTATAAGTCAAGTATGTTTTTCACTAAAAGAAGAGATCATTTAATTTAAATTCTTTTATTTCTATTCATTAAAAGAAGAGATTATTTAATTTAAATTCTTTTATTTTAATTATGAGTTGTAAATTGAACAATAGCTAAAGATTATTCGGCTTATAAAAGTCATAAAGAATTTGTACGTTGCAGGAAAGGTATAATATAGGTTAATTTTAATATCTTTTTGGCCATTGTTCGTTAGAACAGTAACTAGATTCACAGTATATAAGTAAATGGTACACTGTGCGTGAATTTGGCGCTTGTCAATATCAAGATATTGCATATTTCAATCAAGTAGAATATTACGGTGAAAGAATAAAGATGTTTTTTAGATTTTTTTTCAACAAGCTGCGAGATAATTTCGAAGAAATGTTTTCATCGAAATTCTCCACAAAAACATTTTCGCATGTTTACAATCTCGCGTCAAGGTCACGTGATTCGCGCGTTCAAATGCTATGTTACGGCGCACACTCACATAGGTGACACCAGAATGTAGCGTAGTTCACGTCGCGTCTGTTTTCTGGCTTCACTTGCTACGTTTCGGTTGCTTTGATAGTTTGTTTTTACGGATCGGTTGTAACGCAAATCACGAATATTCTGTATTAAATACATGTTTTATCTGTTAAAAGTAAACGAGTGCGATTTTTGTCGGGAAAACCGAGGATAGTGTCGGACGTTTATCAGAATGTATTATTTATTGCGGTTGTTTACGATTAACGGTCGTTTGGCGGTTAAGCATCGGTACAGTTATAGGTTTGGTGAGTACAGATTTTGATACCGTATATATGCCTACATTCGCTCAAGAAAATTGTCATGTATTTTTGAATGCAATATATTAAAAATTTGGCTGATCAGAATTAAGTCCGGTTAAACGTAGTTATGTATGTACATGATGGACGGTCTCGACGCCATCATCAAAACATTTGTCGTTTATCGTTCGTTTTGAATGCATGTACATGTACAGTGTTGAGTCAATCGTCGAATGTGTAGTAAGTAAACATGTTACAATTACAATACATGAATGCGTTGCGGCAGAAAATGCATTTTGTGTACCGCAATGTGACGACTGTGAGATGTAAATGTGTGATTTTCAAAAATAAAGTACATTCATTAACCTTCTCGTTCGGTACTACATGTAACTAACAATAAATTTCCTATTTTTAGTGTACGTCGATTCTCTGAGAAAGCTTAATAACAACTTGAGCAGATGCTTGAAACAATTTAAGGCAGAATCTGTAATGAGAATCTGCAGCAAACTGCAATACTTTAGCTGGTGAGTACAATTATATATTTATTATTTAAATATGTATATATAATAATTATGATAATATACGAGTATGTATATTTTAATACACACATATATATATATATACACAATTACAATTTGTATTTATCAAATAAAATATTTTTTATAAAATATTTGAAAATATTTATTGAATATTTATTAAATTTTTAAAATAGTTATTTACACAATTTATTGCATAAATATAGTTACGGTTTAATCAAAATGAAAATAATTTATAACGTGTTAATCAACATGCATAAAATGTATGATATATAATTTATAATAATTAAAATATATATTAAAATTTTTCCAGATACAGTTGGCTGTGAGAGAATGTCTTTACTAGAGAGGAGAGGAGGGGAGGAGGGGGGAGGGGAGGGAGAGGAGCAAGAGAGACAGTATAACGACCGGTGAGTGAATTTATTCATTATGCTTGCGTAATTACATTAAATACTGGCTATCATCCGCTGTCTTTGCGGAAAGGCTGGCACGTATTTCAAAGAATAGATGAAGGATGGGGAGAATATGATAACGATTGAGCGAGAGAGAGAAAGAGAAAGAGAGTAGAGGAAAGAGATGTCGAACGGAGTAACGAAGATAAACGAGACACATTTGCTTTTGCGAGCCATGGAAAGTTTGCATGATAAAAGTGATAAAGAGAGAGAAGGATTTTGTACAGCAAAAAGAACATTAGAATACATTATGGATAATAAGATAAGCCGGATTACAAGAAAATTAATAAATTGAGTAATTAATTAGGATGTGCGTCCATCTCACAGTGTAATCTACTAGAGAAAAATTGATTTTTATTAGAAACTTGTAGTTTTTAACATATTTTTAATATTTTAATATTAATTTTCGACATTTATTAACTTTTTTACTTTTTCTATTTATTATTCGCAAAAAATTCTGATTGATATTAGCATTGTTAAGTTTTTCTTTTATTGCGTGCAGCATAAGAATAAATGGTTTCGTGAACATTTTTGTTACATATATGCATGTGTGCAGTTCACGATATGAAATACATCTTTCCACTATGTCCATTATGATTTCCAATTTAAAGAATTTGAAAAATACGGCGACACGTGCGAAAGAAAACGAGATAGAATTTTTATTTTTGATATTCCGAGTTACGGATTTATTCGAGTCGAGATATATACATGTAATGGGTGAAAGAAAGATATAAAAATATACGTAACTTTACATCGCAAAAGATCCTAATTAGAGTCGGATTAAAAGGACGATATTTCATAAAAATAAGGCAGAAAAGTCGGGGATAAAAATAATCGCTCATTTATTCCGCATTTAGTTAAATCCGTTCTATCGTGATTATGCCGCGAATTTAATTAAGCGTCAGAGTAATAGACGATTGTTAGCTGCGCGATACCGGAAGTAAGCCTTTTTACTTTGTCGGTGACAATGTTACCTCCGTGCGCTATCGCGTATTATTCCTTATTTTGCGCTACGATACCGCGAACAATTTGCGCAAATTAAAAGCTAGGTGATCGGGTATAATAACCGATTATCATAAATTAAAGATTAAATTCCGACCGAGTCTGTTGGATCGGCCAACTTAATGTGCGTTTCATGCTAATTTCTTATCACAGTCAATTACTTCATCATATACATTCCAATGTAGGTTAAACGTTCTCTACTGATTAGGAAGTATAATATAACATGACGATACATTAATATATTTCAAAAACATAATTAGCTGATGCAAATATTCGTGCAATTCTATTTCTTTTAAATTTTTAGATCTCTAATTTAAAAAAACGTACATTTTATTATATTTTATACATAGACAGAGATGATGTTATATATAATAAATAAGCTATAGTTGACTAATTAAATAATTATATTTATTTATTTAGACGTTTCTTGAAATTATTTTTTATTTATTAATTGTTTTATTATTACTTTGTCTATAATGTTATATACAAAAATTACTATCAGCAATCTTGATTGTAGTTTAGTGAAAATAAGGAAATTTACTCGAAGATATTCTTGTAAAATTTAATCAGAAAACTTCTGCAACATAAAATTAACAAAAATTGCGCATTATAAAAATTGCATTAGGTAGTGAAACATTTAGTGCAACTGTGTTACCGTAATTTTGCCTACGGCGTAATTCTTTTTTTAATAACCGCCGTTGGAACGTCATCGAGGTGGAGAACGTTTCACCTTTTTCGTATATTTGAGGATATTTTAGGGGAGTATTCTTTCTTTCTCTCTCACCGCATTCTCCATGATACATTAAGGCAAAATGACGACATTACAGCCACGCGTCGCTCAATATATCATTATACGGAGTGTGCGTAGCCGCGCGCGCTCGACGGCCCTTCTAAACCTCTCTCTTCTCCTCTTTCTCTCTCCGGAATTTATTGGGCCATGCATGCGGCTTGACGCGCGGCATCGGCATTATTATTCCATCGGCGGAATTATTGGCGCAATTAACTGTCCGACTAAACGGTTTTAAATACTCCGCGCACCGCGTGCACTGTCGTCGGCCGCTCAGAGTCGGCTGTTGTCGCTCGTTCGGGGTCCTCTCGGCCGATCGATGGAGCGCGAAATATACGGCCGCCGGCCACTCTCTGCCGTCCGTCGTTGCCCACCGTCGAGAAATTTTTTATAGCTCTATTCCCGATTTTATCGGAGTTTTCTTTTTTTTTTTATAAAACCTGCGCTGCACGCGCAGCCGGCCGACTTACACGTGAGTCTTTACATTCTCGAACTTCAAAATAAGTCATAAATTAAAGATTGAAAAGCGAACAGATAATATTGTTTCTTGAAAAATCCTGAGACAATTTAACAAAACTCGATTTTGAATTTCATAGATATATGTCTGCTTTTTGCCAATCAAAAAGCTTTATTTTTACATTGTGCCATTGTTTATTGCCTATTTTGCGCGATGTGCATGCACAGCGACGTCCATCAAGTATTTATTTAATATTTAAATGTTTTTTTTTATGGTGATAATAATTTGTATATACAATTTTCTATTATTTTCTATTATTTTATCTAATGCAGCAACAGAATAACATTCAACTACTATAATACAATTTTGTTGTTGTTTAGTAAATGTATTTGCTCAATCACGATTTTTGTTTAAAAATGAAGTATTCGGTTTTGCGTTTATGTATTATTTAACATGTCTCAACGACATGCAGAATAATAATATTGATTGCAACGTGAATTTTCTCTGTTCCGTGGCCGCAATCGCAAAATTTTAATTGCAAAAAAAGGAAATTTAGCTTTTATTAATTTCTATTTGGTTTTATGATTTATTACGTATTTTCGGAAAAAATGCAATAATTGCATGTGCAATCGCACTTATAAATTATTAGAAGTCAGCTCTTGTACACACGCAACGAGGTACATGTTGTGTCATTTTCTACGAAAATAGCCGTATGATTGCCATGATTCGTGTATATATAGGCAAGTCGCGTAAACAGCTTGTAATAGCTACGTCGAAATTTGAGCACTGATGCTTTTATCGTATGAATATTGATAGCTATTGTTCATCGATACGTGAATTTCAACATCGCGCGGTGTAAGCGCGGAGTATTTGTACGAAATTATTTTTTCAGTGACACGACAATAGCTCATTTTTGGAAAATATTGTCAACATATATTGACGCATTTCCAATATTTCAGTTTATATTTCTTATTGTTCAAAAGACACCCAATAAATATTTATGTTACCTGTTGATAAAGTAAATCTTATCTTCTAAAGTAATACTTATGAAAATAAGCAATATTAACAATTAGCTATTTAAATTGACATATTTAATTATAATATCCAACTCGATTGTGTTGCATCTAAATGTCTTCAAATATCGTATATTAAAAATGAAATCTATAGATCTTTTTTCTCTCATATTTTTTAATACTTTTCTATGGTACGATTTATTATATTATATTTTGCGACCGTCTCATGCTTTTCTTGTACGCTTTAGTCGGTTATCGACATAAATTTACGAGTTCCTTGCTGATCTACCCTGCATTGTGGATCCGGTTTCCAATATTAATATCACCGTCCACCGCGTTTGATCGTATCGCAATATCGGATTTCGTGAGGTATTTGAGCAAACAATGCTTAAACAGCACAAAAAAAATAAATATATTACCAATATTTTTATAAAATAAAAAATAATGTCAAAATTGATAACTTCATTTTATACGCTTTTGGTCGTAAAAATGTTTATCAAGTATAAAAATGTATATACGAGAGAAAGTCAATAAGTAATAAGATTTTTTTGAAGGATTTGATTCTTTAAACATTACTTTACTTATTGACTACTTTCTCTCGTATATACATTTTTATACTTGATAAACATTTTTACGACCAAAAGCGTATAAAATGAAGTTATCAATTTTGACATTATTTTTATTTTATAAATATTATTAATATATTATTATTATTTTATTTTTTGTTGCTTAAGCATTGTTTGTTTAAATACCAAAGAAATTTTTTAAGAATTTGATTTTTTATCTCTTTCTCTTTTGATTTTCTGTAATATTTCATAAATATACAATTTTGAGATAAGAATATCATTAAAAAGTCATTAAATTTTTGAAATATCTATATTCAAAGGATAATACACATTTTATGAATTGAATATATTCGATTCTTAATAATTATGCCAATATTGGTTATTAATTTTGTTGCTTTAGAGTAGAATTTATATTACAGCTATATTTGTTATTACTACCTTCTGCCGTTCTCTTGGTTTGTTATTGTAAAAAAAAACCGGATAATACAAATCCGCGCGCGATGTTTTCATGCAGTTCCCCTTTTTATTTATTTTACTAAGTTTATTTTACTTAACGGTGCTAGTTATTTTTATTTTTTTTCAATTTTATAAAATATATTCATTGTGTTTGCTGCCCTGCGATTCTCTATTTCTAATTCGATTTCCATCGCAAATTTATGATCACGTAAAATATACTCTAATATGCATTACATTAGCAGAGTTAAAACTTCTTTAGACATCTTAAACTTTACCATCTTTCTTTCAAAGTTGAAAGATGGAAAGTGATATATTGGTTACTTGAGACAAATCTAATTTTAAGATAAGACAAAGTGAAGAACAAATATAAAGCTTATTGTGACTTGATATTTTAATTAGTTAAATATTATTGTTACTATTAATATTATTTTATTAATATTAATAATTTGAGCGTAAAATTATTTTGAATGGCCAGTTTAAATTTTTATAATAACGCTTTAAATACTATAGGCAATAAAAAAATATATCCAGGCGTTGTGACGTCTATAATAATTATTTGCCGAAAACTAAATTACTTATTGCAGATATTAATTAGTTAAAATTTCAATAAACATTATTAAAAAAGAACTTTGAACTTCTGCATCTTGACTTACTCCGAATTCAACTTTGAAATCTCTCATTAAACGATAAAATTAGTAGACGTTGATGTTGATTGAGTCATGTTTAAATAATTCATTTGTGGGGAAAGCCACGATGAGTCTACTATTGATTATCGCTGAACTGACAGTAGCGAGGTCGCATCGCTTAAAGACACTTGATCAATCGATCAAAATTTATTAATCGAGATATTCGACGAGCTAAGAATTATGATTATCTGTTCCATCAGTTATCCCTCTTTATCGAAAATATGATCGTCAGCTGAAATCTAGTTTTACGACTATTACTCGACTATCACTTTGCTTTATTCTTTTATACATAAATGCATGCAGATAAGTAAGTAGTAAACGACATAGCTATTAATAGAAGAGAATATTCATATAAAAATAGCAAACCAGTATTCATGTGACATGCCTATGGAATGATTATGAAGTATGTCATCATACTTTATATGAAACTATGAATCGATAGACAAGAATTCCTACAAAGTTTTCTTATCATTTCAAAATTCGAAATTTTAGTAAAAAATTAGTAAAAATTTTGAATTTTGAAATTATAAATGATAAGAAAACTTTGTAAGAATTCTTGTCTATCGATTCATAGTTTCACATAAAGCTTGATGACATATTTCATAATCATTCTACAATACATGTCACACGAAGGTTAATTAATTTCAAATTGATCAAAGAAGTTTGACGGATATTCTACATTCGGATCGCCTTTTATGCTTTACGCTTGCGAAACGTGTGGGCTATGCATTACGAAGTGAGATTATCTCTTTAGCTGGCAAAATTGCCAAGTGTAAAGTAGAAATTCCTGGCGTACAAATTATGACAGTCAATAACCAGAGCGCACATACATAACGCGTAAGTAGATAATCGAATTAATTGCGGCGCGCGCGTTCAAATAAATGTATTCTCGTTCTCGCGCAATGGAACCGTGCTGTAAAATTCAATGTAATGCGAAATATAATATACATATCGCGCGCGCATGGGATATAGGCAATACGCAATTTTCGCTCACGGCCGGTAACGTGTCATCGCGTAAATAAATAAAAATGGTGTCGTCGTATGTTGTTGGCGGAGCAAAATCCGGTCGAATTTACAAACCAGTGGGACGAGAGTGAATATTTAATTACGCCATTTGTTTATCCTATTTCGCCGAATCACTAATTCGTGCTGCCGAGTGTCCGATATCCTCGAACAATAAGCGGCCGTGCATTAAACTCTATTTATATTTCTCATTGTGACGGCCAAATTGTCATTGCTCTGACGCTTATGACTTCGTGACGTTTTGTTGCAATTTTATTGAACAATTGCGATAATCGAAATGAAATAAAATCTTCGGAACCGAACGACACGAATAATTCGGGAAGGTATTAAGCTCTATTCAGTACCAAGTATCTGGTTAATTCTTTTACAAGAAGAGCAAAGAGTGAAAACTGGTTGCAATATAATTCCTCAAATCTTTTTATGCACTTCTTGCAATTAATTAATCAAAGCTAATTGAGATCTTGGCGTTGAAATAAATTATAATTCGTAGAAATTTTGTTCAAATAAAATGCACGACTTTATTCTCAGACATTTTACTAACATTACCGTCTTATCGCCTTAACGTAGATCGACGCAGCGTTTCAAGATTAATATTCTTAATTAATAAACGTCATTAATTTGTAATCGATTTTTACACTGTGACGTGACATGTATAATATTATTAAACGTATTAATTAACTTATAGAATATTAATTGTGTTTGCTTGCCGAGCGCGCGGATTAGGCTGAGAAAGCAGTTCGTGACTCGATTGTCTTATTTATGACGAAGAGTACGCTTTGCGAATCACGTGTGCATCGATAACAAGATCGGGCATTGTCTCGTGACTGATCGATATCGCTTCGCGCGTGTATTTTATGAACGCGCTCCTCAATGCTAAGAATGAGAAAGCTTCTATTAATAGAAAGTAGTTTCCAGAAGATAATTATTTATCATTTATTAACGATCTATTGCGATAATATTATCAACTGTGTACAGCCTTACTTTTATTGCATTATTTTTTAAGAGTAAATTTTTTAGCTAATTTGGAATCGATTTTTTTCACTAAAAAGAAATTTCAAACGTTTTAATTCGGTAAAGATTATCAGTTTTACACTTTTTATCTTTTCGCTAGAAAGGATTTTGCGATTCGCTAATATTCACGTGAGCTCGATGCGTTCGCAAGAAAATTCCTCGCTCGACGCAACGTCAGCAGCTTGTGCAATAACGCGGTGTTACGCTAATCAAGAACGAGTGCTACGGACGCTAATAACATTTTTATCGTTGCTACTATAGTTACGTTGTCCGTTTACCTTGACTGATCGGGAGAGTCGCTCTCGGTTCGACCGACTGTATCGTAACTTGATCGATCCCCTCTCGTTGCTTGATAATAGGACACAAACTAGGTACCGCGTAATCGGCCCCGAATCGTATATTGGATCCATTCGTTGCGAAATTTCCATTCGTTGCGAATAGTGGATTTTTGTTTACGATATGCTGTAGGCGATTTCGTTGAATTTTCAGCCAAAACAACTTGTGTCGTTAATACCATATCCGAGCGATCGGACGCGTGTGTGTATGCTCTTTGTTGCTATTCTGTGGCGTCGATAAAAACGCCGTTCTATCTAGTACGGAAAAGTTAAAAAGCTCGTGTAAGCCCGTTTGCTGGATTTGGCGTGTTCATGAATAATTCACTATTTATTGAGTTTTAATATCAATATTAACGCGATCGTGGATTAATCGACTGGCATGACCGGCCAATATTTATGTATAGATATACCTTTCTTGATGACATTCACGGGCCGCTATGATGTCGACAATTGGTCTTTTTCGCCGATTCAAAATTATTTATTTTTTATTAACGTTTGACGCATACGTCCATAGTGTTTGTGGAATAGTATAAATGGCTTCATTGAAATTTTATCATTTTATTCCATTTCCGAGAGGTTTACACGTGCGGGAACTACAACCATCGAAATATCATACTAGTGTAATCAAAATATATAAAGTTGTCAACGTTACACTTTGAAGCCGCAATTTTTTTAGCCGAAATTGCTGAAATTTGCATTGTTTTTACATGCTTTTAATGTGGTATTTAGTTTTATCGCCATATGTACATTAAAGAAGCGCCTCTTAGATACAATTTTACTTTGGAATTTTATCTACGATAAACAGGCCACCGATTGACACAGTTAAATGATTTATGATAACGTATCCGTACAATATGCTCATAAAGATTCGCGATTATAGTTGATTCCTTTTTCTTTTATTATGTCGCGAAAAGTGTTGCTGAGTAACGAATGACGCGATATTTGATCGTAGCGATAACTTTATCCGATTCAGTGGAAAGATTACGAGTTGAGTGACTAAGCATTTCTATTCGAGAAATTTTTAATCAATTTATATATATATATATATATATATGTGTATATATACACACATATTAGTTTTTAACAAAGACTTAAAGGTGTACACTGTGCAATATTATTTTCTAATTACATGTAATTGAATTCGATATGCTATTTATTAAATTATCGGATATTTAAAATATCATTTAATTGTAATATTACAATCTCCTATAATTTACAACGCATATTTAATTTTAATATTTGATCATGTGTATGTATTTGGTTTTATTACACGACTAGATATCCAATATTTTTGCAAAACTGATTACGAGCTTATTATCTTTAATTAATAATTTTAAAGAATTAATTTTTATAAAGGTGAAAAAAAATTTGTTTTAAGATATGATATTTTATAATCAGATAACAGTTTTGCTGTACATCTAAAGAGTTAACGATAAATTCTTTTATTATCATACGAGAAGGCTATTATTTGAAATTATTTTGACTTTGATTGATTTATTACTTAACGTCAATTTAGTTATGTTAAGATCTTTTTGTTCAAGATTTTTTAACGGCCACGTCGTAAATAATTATTTACGACAAGGATTGTGTTCGGAAAATTGCTGGATGTGCGAGAAATTTTTGCGATTTTCGAAAGTCAACGTTTTGTGCCAATGACTTGCGGCCTATTTGCAACCGCATTCAATGCCCTCGTTTTCCTCGGTTTCGAATAACGACGCGCTTGCCGATAACCGATCGCGCGATGCCGGGTGACGGAACGCTCCGCTTCCCCTCTTCTCTCCCCAATCGATTTTGATTTCATGGCCAGTTTCACGGAAATTAAATCATTGCACGATCGGCGAAAATGACGGATCGCTTTGTCGTAAATTCATGCGGTGCAAAATCCTCGCCACGCATCCCCGCCATACAGAGATCATTTAACGGTACTTTATCGTGATAGATGTTTCCTTTTTAACGTTCCTTCAACGAGCGCGCGCGCATAGAAGAGATTTTACAATTGCAATATATTGTATATGTGTGCGCACACACATATACAAATAATATCGCGAATTTTAAACAACGGAAGTCGGAAGTTTATTAAAACCCCAAAAAAAGAAAAAAGAGCCCATCTTTCAACATTATGACATATTAAGTATGGTTAGTAACATAATAAATCGCTACTTCATATTTGCTTTTTTCCTGCCATTATCTTTGACGCGCCATTCATTGTCTACCGCGACGTTATATCAGTTGGTTTAGCGATCATGATTATTGTGATGCATTCCATCGGTTTTTATTGTCTCTGATTTATCGATAAAAGTTGGTGTGTCGCAGCGCTCACTCACCTGTCAAATTTCGTTCAGCCGCGACAGCTAAAATCTACCGTCCAGATACAGAGACGTCCAATCTCTACGCGTTACAACTGACTTCACGAGATTATCTGTAACGAGAAGCTTTTTATTAAAGACTGTTGAAATATGCATATCCGTGATCAAAAATTGAAGAAATTCGCGTCAAAAATTTTCATTCATTGACAGCTAAAATAATCTTCCTTGAGTGACTTTGAGTGACGCTGACTTGATCTTGTCTGCTTTATTGTATTAGCCATTAATTTCGAAAGTAACATTGTTTGGAAAGCATGAATGTAAATGAGAAGGGAAATTTTATTAGCACTAATAGGAAGTATTACGAAATCGATAATAACTTAATACCGATATAAAAAAATGTTTTATACTGATATAAAATAATGTTTTATAGCTAATATAAAATAAAGGTAATAATAATTAGCAAAAGCAAAGATTTTATACGAATATTGAAATCTTTAAATTAATGGATTATACTCATAGTTTTTTGTGACATAGTCATTCGTACTAATATAACGTTACGCCATCCCATGATACTAATTAAAAAAATTTTTTAATACTTTTTCTACTATTACTTTCGTGTTGCGCTTTATATGAAAAAAATTTTGAAACATTTTGTATATGCAAATTAAAGTAATGAAAAACATACCACTATGTCGATCGATCAATCCAATTATATTCGAAAAGATACGTATGATTTGAAGGATTCTTTAATACTGTTACATCTAAAACTACGTGTTTATATTAACCCGGTGAACAAACACTTTCGATCACAAACTGCACCGTGCAGGAGATCCAACTTGCTGATGAACGCGGTTACCGAGTGATGATTCCAACTTTAATTTCTAATCAAAGTTTTCGGTGCTTCAATATCCTTGTGGGTTTCGATGTTTATTTCCTTGAACTTGATCTTCAAGGAAATTTTCTAGTCTCGTTGCGGATGATTGTGTTTAGAATCTGAAGCTGAGGAAGGTATATTTGTTATTAAGATATTTTATTGTATAGTAACAATTATTTCTTTAATTTTTTCTATTAAATGTATATGAATATGAAAAAGGAATGGAATAATTTGTCATCAGCTTCTCACGAAATTAATGATTTGCCTGATGAAACAGTCACAAATTTGTGACTGTTTCATCAGGCATAATGAAATCACTGAAATCGAAAAAGTTCGACGAAATATCGATAAGTTTGGGTTTTTTATTGCGTTATCTATAATTTTACAAATATAGAATCGATAATGCAATTACTTTTCAACGAAATAATTGTATAGGTCGTAAAATTATTGAATGATAGTTTCCTATCTACGGTAACTTCACTAATGTCGTTATTCATAACAACATTTACAATGTAATAACCCGATAATGCGCTCACGTGGCTTGATAATAGTATCTCTGCCTTGACTCACATTAGCTTAGAACAAACCCGTCAGAGTCGACTGTACAACTTTTTCGTGTTTCGCGTGGAAAATCGAGTTCACTATTAAAAGCACCCGTCCTCCCCCTGTTTCTCTTTGAAAACTATTGTTAAAACTTATTTCTCGACGAAAACGTGACGAAGCTGTGACGTTCACTGTGTAAACTGACCTGTTTGGCCGAGCGTACAACGCGACTTGCGGTGATCCGCTCGAACTTGCTCGTATATATAAACGCTGCAGGAGAGTTTCTTCCCCCCTCCCTTTATTAAAATCTTTTCCTCCCGTGCATGGTGTGCCCCTCCATTATCCTGTTTCGTTTGTTTTCTACATGAGCGAGTTGTTCAGTTTCGTACGATCGGCGTCTGGCGAACCTGTGTGAAGTTCGCCCTGTAGTTTTGAATTTTATACTTTTCTCAATTGTGCCGAATTGTGCAAAGTTTGTGCCAATTTGTGCCGTAAACCCTAGCTCAATAACTCAAATCATAAAAAAAAGAAAACAAACGTAATTTTTTTTATGAATGAAATGAAACGAAATATCGAGATTTTTCCAACGGCGTAACACGGCATAAAGTAGTGCCCATTCAGAAAAAAATCAAGGCTAATTGCAAAAGGTTGAGTGCGGAGTTGGCACAAATTACGTTTTTTTTATTTTTAAAAATGATTTGAATTATTGAGGTAGGGTTTACAACAAATTGGTAACAAATAGTAAGCATAATTAGACACAATTGAGGAAGGATACGTATAAAATTCAAAAAGTAGCGGAACCAAGTCTACATAGGTGTTTAGCGATCCGGACGCTGCGAATATTTCCCTGTGTGATGCTAGTTCGGGCTTTCCCTTTGACGGGCCGACGTCCGATACGTTCCGCGAGTATTGCTCTCGTTAAAACGTGCAGTATGCGCAACATATTGCTCTAATGGCGCAATCTTCTCGCTCGGGACATGTGGGATACACGTGGGTTTTAATAAAGTTTAATACAAGTTATCCTACAATCTTGATCGTTCCGGCTTTGTGCCGCTGTGTTTTCCGCTACTGAACAAATATCTTTGTTTCTGTTATCTGCCTGCTGTATTTTTACACACGTGACTTTTTCATTCGTTCCACTTCTAGCGTAAAATGTGCGGCAGTAATACTGTTTTTGGTTCTAACATTTCATGAATATTGCGAAAAGCAAAATACAGAAAATTTTTTAAAATTAAGTCTAAATATTAGTATTGTAAATCTTAGATACCAGGAGATAATTTAGATTTTAATTCTTCTTTTATTTTTTTTACCCACTTTACTTTAATAATCAGGAAACTATATACTATTAGATAATACTATTAGATTACGTATACTGCTAGATCTTATCTCTTCGAGATAATTTCGGCTTCTTTTTATCGTTGTTAGATAACATAATAATGATCGGTTTATATTGGAGTGTTTTGTTTCCTGATATCACACTTCTCCTCCACGCATATCTTGTGATAAATTAATGATCGTTATTTGTGGACTCACTTTGGTTTTTTCCAAATATTTTATTCTATACTTCATTTTTTTCGATATCTATCATATTATTGAATTGAAAGCTGTGGACTTGCCCAGCATTGAGTGTTCAAAATGATAATTCAATATTGTATTGTTAAGACACTCCTAGGGGGTATAATATTTTCAATTCAGAACAATTAAAAATGACACTAGCTATTTCTTAGAAAGATCATCAGTTAAATAAAATCTTGTATCCATTCTGTCGTTCATAGATAGCAATTTGTTAATGCAAGAGACGACAATATCTTGAGTCATTAATACGCATTGAACTATTTGCGTGCGTACACGCCATGTGTAGTGACAACATGACAAAGCAAACCGAGAGATTAATCGATGTTTATTGAATTCAATTGAGTATACTGTACGTTCGTCAAATTGCGGCCAATGGAAGTCATTAAAAATTGATCATCATAATCATCGATGCGTCAATGATGAGGAAATGAGTGCTCATAAGTAATTTCGGGCGTACGTTCTGTCTTTATTTAGCAATTGCGAACATTAATTTTTATCAACGAGAGATCAATTTTTAGTAAGAAAATGGCAATAAATTATCGATAAAAAATTATAAAGAGATTATAAGTAAAATCACACACATAAGACACAGCAGCAAATCATGTTCTCCAAACTTTTTTAAATACTGCGTGAAAATCTTATTTTATATTATCCTACATCATTTCCGGATCTAACTAGAAGCTGGTATTGCAAAATTAAATCATATCTAATTTTAGCGTAGTTAGTTTAGCTAAAATAAGGAAAACTGCGATCATTCTTTTCAATTCTGCAATTTTTGTCATAAATCCCGCAAAAGAGAAAAATATGAAGGTTACGCATTACACTTTATATTTATCGTGTTACTAGTCATGTTTTCAAAAATTGATAATATATTACATGCTATCAAATATTATCGAAATGTATGTCAAAATGTGATATTATTGAATATCGTGTTACGTTATGTGTTTAAAGTATATCGTCGTGAATGACCGATCGTTATACAAGCGAGTCACAAGTGTGCGAATATATTTATTGATACGATCGATGGTGGAACTTAAATGATCACCATGACACTGACTTTGCGAAGGGGCTAATTACGATCAGGACGAGGGAGGGCCTAAGTATGCTGGTCGTGTAATAAGTCACACGTGAATGATGTGCGCCGAACGGCGTGGCGTCACAGAATGACGGGACGAATGAACGGAATGACGTAACTTACAGCACATCGCATAAGTTCTCCACTCCCCCTCCGTGCGCTGAGATCCTCGAGATCGTCCGAATTACACGCGGTTGACACAAATTCCGGGAGTACGATGAATGGCCAACGACACGGCCTTGTCTTTGATAATTTCGCCTTCGCGACACGTCGATCTCGAAGCAAAGGCGATCGGAGAATAAGAATCGTTTGTAAGGAGGATTGAATTATACATTTTACGCCGCATAGACCATACTATCAGCTATGTGACCGTAATCTTGAATCGTTAACTATCTAAAGTAATGTTGACTTTATTTACCGCTATAAATTTGAGAATTTTTCTTTTTTACAAATCCAGTTCTATTAACGTAATACATGACAAATAACTCATGTATTTAAAAATAAACCTTGCATTGTAATTAGTTTCATTAAGTAGAACGATATACTGTGGTCATGAATATCACTGAAATCGAAATGCTATTTTTAGAAGCATGCAAATTGTAGCCTACTTAATTACTATGCTTAACAAGCATTCTACAGCATTGTAAAGCAAATGATTCTCTGAGCAAAGTTAAATTTTTTTTTTAAGAAATTTTATGATAATTTTTCTGGAGAAATATTTGTACACTTAACTTTGAAGTGATTATAAAGCGAATGAAAATTTTCTGTGTATAGTTAACTGTACATACGGGGAACAAATGTTAATTATCGCTGCAGGTTTGAGTTTTAAGATACGTGTCGCAATGAAAAAAGTTTTGCAATAGTTCCATTTAAAAATTTCAAATAAACATCATTTTTGGTCTAGAGTGTGGTAAAAAATGGTTCCGGTTGAAAGCATTTCAGTTTAATAGGCGATACATTTAATATGCCATGCATAACGAAGCTACAAGTTGAATTGGATTGCAAGCGAAAATTTTGATCGAGTGAAAGTATTTTATTAAATTTCCTATTTTTACGACTTTTTAATTGCATTCTTGATTTGCATTCATGCTTTCCACTTTTGTTTTAATATTATCGTAATTTCGCTATTTGAATTTTGCGACTCAAAATGATACCGCGATCGAATCGACTCGAACGCTACCGTGCAATATTGCGATTCAAAAATGTATGGGTTCGGAATTAAACCGTATGTCATAAATAACATACAAAATGATAATGTCATGTGTCAGCCAAGTAGATATAATTTTCGAACCATGTTGGACAATACTCGATCAAAATGTTAAGCGCTTTCGGCGGGGGATTTGTCAGTGTTTGTTATAAATAATACTTTGGTAATCCGTTCTACGTCGAGTTAACGTATAGCTTCATTAACGGATTATATCGTATCATAATTAGCTACTGCAAATTTGATTTGATCTCCCCCCCTCTCCCCTTCTTCTTTCTTTTTTTCTCTCATGTTTCCTCTGTTGGGAGCAAACTTTATTATTACGGTATTATAAAAGTAAATCACATTCAAAAAGTGAATTGCGGCTAATCCACTCGGTTCGCAATCATATTATTCATACTTCATATTATTCATTTAAATAGATAACTTGCTATCAGGTCGTGAAAAAGGTCACAGCTGTGAACTCACTTATATCATTACGTTGTTTTTTTTTGTTGACCGTATTATTGAAGCGTCTAGACTTTATATCATCGATAAACATATTCTATTGATTGAATAATTAAATTTCGTACACAAAGTATAGAGCGAGATAACCATAGTGGTAATACAAGTTTTAAGCACATTGTTGCATTCGAAAACATAAATTTACTGTTTGAATTATTACATCGAAGTTTTCGGTTAATTATACTCTTGAGACGTCGAAATTTTACATTATCGTTAAACATATCTGATGCGAAGATCAAGAAACTCACGGAAAAACGTAAACAGAAGTATATGAAGTATATGAAAGTTTGATGTACGTCGAGATGATAAAAGAGCTGCAATAAAAGTCATTTTGACTGTACGAGCAGATACGTTTCTCGTCTGTCGAGCACTTTGCTTAATTTTTTGCACGATGAAAACGCGAATACCGGTTTGTTCTGCGAGATGTTTAGCGAATTGGCCTTCTTCGTTTTGCACTGTTGGTAGACTTCTATTTTTCTGCATCGTGCACTCTTCGCCTTTGTGTCTTTATGATTACACAACTTGCATTGTGTAGTACCTGCACTTGTGGAACTGTCGAGATGATATGTGTAATATAAAAGAGACTCAGTCGGAGACAAAGATGTAATAAAACAATTTATGCGTATAATATGTAATTTACATATAGGAGATAAAAGTGAATCATAATAAAGAGGAAAAATGCATCCGTGTTATAAAAGTGGCATAAGATACATATCTCTTGGATTCAGATTATTAGGATTTCGTTTTGTTGCATATTACAGAAAATATTCTCGAATGATGTAATAAAATGCATTTGGAATATTTACCTTTATCTAGTGCTAGTCTTTCTCTCTTTTTTTTCTGTTAGCCAAAATTTTAAATTATTATTTATTATTAGTATTTATCTTA